GTGCCTAGCCAGCGAGATGGATCTCGAACTCAAGACTACTGCCACAGGCCTGGGTCCTGGCCACCGCCTGCTACCTTTCAGGCTTTTGGCTGGAGTAGGTGCTATCCCAGGAAGCTTTGGTTTTGGATTCGAGTTTGTTTCAGATGTTAAGTGTCATGACAGCGGTAGCTGCTGCTTGCTGTGACACCGCCACTTAATGTTGAGTTACGGAGAGAAGCACTCTGTATTCATTTGTCGTATGAGATAGAAGTTATTTTTCTTCTGAAGAGTCAGAAGAATCTCAGTTACTGTTAGGAGAGTTGTAGTAAGCCTTCTGAAGTCAAATAGTCCCTCTGAGAAATAGCATAGCTCTCTGTTCAGCAGTCTCTAAAGGAGTGGGTATATTCTAGAAAAAACAATCGCAGTGCTGGAAATATTATGCAGAGTAGGGTTTCTCAGCCGTGAATACTGACATTTTGAAGGGGAAAGTTCGGTTATGGGAGATTGTTTTGTCCGATGTAGAACACTTAGATGCAGATTCCTTGGCCTACCTCCTAAATGGCATCAGCCAATAGCAGTTCTACCAGCAGAGCTGTGGCAACCAAAAATCGTCCTGAGTTGAGGGTGGAGAGATGGCTAAGTGTTAAGTGCACTTATGCTCCTGCAGCAGACCTGGTGGCTGTAACTCCAGTTCCAAGGCATCCACCATTGCCATCGTCCGGCCTCTGTGGGCACCTGCACTCATGCAGTGCACATAAACCCATACAGGCACACACATACGCACATAAAAAAAATCATCAGGGTTGAGAAGTACTGTTGTAGAAGATCATTACTAAAGCCATATGTACAGTAGCAGGAATTTGGAAGCCATATCAATGTCTGAGGTCAGTCTGTGGATGCAGGTGCTGCGTACCCAACTGCTTGCATTCAAGATAAAATCTAAAATATAGGAATCTGGAGATGCATGAGCAAAGCACTGTGATTTTACCTGTCTGTGTGTGGATGAGGACTTGAGAATATGAAATTTTGCATCTAAGATTCTTTCAATATTTTACGAACTAATTGGAGTTTTTTTCCCTTTCTTTTTTAGTGGAATTGACCTTTTCTTTCTTTTACTGTTCTGAACCCCCCCCCCCCCCCCCCAAGAGATGTCTCGAGAGAATGAGAAACAGCCGGCACAGGCTCCTGAACAAGTACCGCCAGGCTGCAAGTGGTACACCAGGGAGAGCCTCAGACAGATTGCTTGTGCAAGAAGTGATGGAGGAAGAGTGGAATTGTTTGCAGTCAGTAGAGAATTATCCAGAGGCTTTGATTCAGGTCAGTCAAGGGGGCTGTGGCTAGGGGCTGGCTGCTCTACAAAGAACTTCTGGTGACATCTTTCTGTTTATCCAGGTCTTTTCAACCTACCCACTTCCCAGCCCCCAAGCATAATTCTAAGAGCCTTTTGGCTCAGGCCTTTCTCCTTCTGAGTAGATTATTCTATATTGATGGTTCTGCAATACTAGACTTTAGGCACGTGGCAACCTTGTAATGAAACTTAATAACTTATGAAGCTAAAAGGGAAGAAAATGTCATTCTTGCTTTCCCCATTGGAAACTTTGACTCACTAGGAATGGGTTAGGGACCTCTCTTTGAAAAGGATGTCTACAGCAACATTCTGATTCCAGCCAATCAGAGTTTGGAGTTGTGTGTCCATAGAAAACTATTTACAGTGTATCAGGCAAGGCTATGGGCTAGCATCAGGATTTAAGAATTCTGTTTAGTTTGACTGACTCACAGCTGTACTGTGTTTCTTTGAGCCTTAGTTTTTACATTTACATAAAATAGAGAAAATGGCAGAAACATTATAGAATTGTATAGCAAAACATGAAAACCCTTGAAACCATCAAAGCACTGTATAATAATGATGCATTCTCAGGGGCATCTATGTGTCCTACAGTATGCTAAATGGTCAGCATAACATCACCACAGTTAGTGTTCACAACAGGCCTCTCAGGTCGGTCTTATTCCAGCTTTACAGAAGCTAAAATAGCTTTTCTAAGACTAGACCTTTTCACGTGGCCTGTCTTAGGACTTTTCCTTAAGTGCTGCCTGATTTTATCTCCCTTAAGTTTGGTGGTGGGTACTTTGATCATTTGTTGTTAGTTTAGCGTGGCCACATTGCTATACTGTCAGCAGATTCTGCATGCAAACTAGACCAGTTTTGCCAGGTAAATCTGGGGTCTTTGAGGCAGCTTTCGTTTAAAAATCCCCATGGGACCTGGTGGCCGATTAATACTTCACATGGAAGGTGAAGACACCACTTTCTGCTCTGTCTGTCTGTCTGTCTGTCTGTGCCATGCTCAGGAATCAAACCCAGGCTCTTGCATGCTGGGCTAGTGCTGCTCGTCTGAGCTATACTCCCTCCCTCTACTTTCTCTTATAGTTGGGACTGCCAGGGGACCTAGCTGTGCTGCAGGACATCGAACAGGAGCTGTGTGATGAAGGTAATTCCAGATGTAGTCTCTCCTACCTACGTGCACCTACTCTTAGGCTGGCCCTACCTTGACTCAGGATTGGTTTCGTTGTTTTCGATTGTTTGGGGGCTAGGGATAAACCCAGAGCCTTGGCATGGAGGCACACTCTAAAGCTATATCCTCAGCCCTAGGATTAGTTCTTAATCCCTGTTCTTCGACTTCAATCATGAGTTGAGTGTCCAGAAGGCTGTTTGGACCTTTAATTCTTGGCCGTCTATCATCCCAACAGTGAGGGCCATTGGCTCTGTGCCATGAACTTCTCATTTATGATGCCGTTTCCTCCATCTGACTACTGTGAAAGATAGGATTAGACAAATAGAAAACAGTATCCTCACACAGGTCCCATAGCTACTCAGTGGTAGAGTTGGGAAGCAGTGTCCATGTTTATTTTATCCTGCCTCTTGCTTCTTCGTTCACCTGAGCACTGCGGCTGTGCCTGTAGGGCCAGCTGCTTGTGATCTCATGGAGGAGGGTAGGCTTTCAGGAAGGCAATTGAGCCTCAGTTTCAGACTAGCCAGGATAGCATAACGAAACCTGCCTCTTGAATAGTAAACATGTCACTCTGCATGTGTGGGCATATCTTTACATGTACACCCGAGGGCCAGCTTTCATCCATTCTTTATTGTTTGCCCATGAGTTTGCGAGCCATCTGCTTCTTGAGGTTCTGAGAGCATTGTGTAGAGTACACAGTTTTGCATCTTATATCACAGTGACTTACTCCATATAGCCTTGTCTTGACTAGGTTTCACATTTATCTGTAAAATAGAATAGACCTGCCCTACAGGTACAGGACAATCCTGGGCCTTTTGCCTTGCAGAAAAGTCCATCATAAGCGAGTATGAGAAGAGCTTACAGTTTGATGAAAATTGTCTCAACAGCATGTTGGCTGAGTGGGAAGCAAACCCCCTCATCTGTCCTGTGTGTATAAAGTAAGGCTTTTCAAAATCTTTTTAGTATTATTGGTTCTCATTCCCTACTCCAAAGTAAGGGTGATGCCTCTGCACCCTAGTCTATTGACTGAGAGGTATAGGGAACCAGGTCTTGTTACCACAGTGATCTGGGAATCCTAATTCTGTCTCTAGGTACAACCTGAGAATAATGAACAGTGTGGTCACGTGTCCGTGTGGCCTGCACATCCCATTTCACGTAAGTGTCCACACACATTCCCTATTACACCGACTGTATTAAAGAGCCTCTGGTGGCGGTTTGGAGTCAGTTGTACACATCCGTGCGTTACCCTTCTTGTCACTGACAGGATCCTGCAGCAATAACCTGAGAGAGGGTTATTTTGGTTTAGGACTTCAGAGGGGTCAGTGCATCATGGTAGAGAAAGCATGGTAGAGTAGCTCCCTGGGGGTGAAAGCCAGGACTCCTTAGCATCTTGGCCAATAGGAACAAGATCTGTTCCTAGTAGCCTACCAGATAGACTTCCTATGTTTTGCCTGCATGTATGTCTGTGTACTGTGTATGTGTCTGGAGCCCTGGAAGTAAGAAGAGGGTGTTGGATCCCCTGGAACTGGAGTTATAGTTGGTTGTGAGCTGCCATGTGGGTGCTGTCAGCCCAGGTCCTCTGGAAGAGCAGCAAGTGCTCTTGAACACTGAGCCATCTCTCCAGATGCCCTTTTTTGGTTTTGAGGCAGAGTCTAGTAGTAGCCCAGGCTGGCCTCAAACTCACTTATAGCTCAACTTCTGGTCTTTCTGACGTCCCTTCCAGGTGCTGGGTTACAGGCTTGTGCCACTCCACTTGGTCTTTACACTGTGCTGGGTATGTTTGCCAGGCGAGCATTCTACCACCTGAGCTGCAATCCCAGCCCCCAACCATCTAAGCCTCCAAAGAATCAAACTGTCTTGATTGGCGATTCAGGTTGTCAACCTGCTGGTTATACAGTATTTAAGATTAGCTGAGCCTGGAGAGATGGTTCAGGGTTGAGAGCACTGATTGCTCTTCCAGAGGATCAGGGTTCAATTCCCAGTACCCATATAGCAACTCACAACTGTCTGTAACTCCAGAACCCAACACCCTCACACAGACATACATACAGGCAAAAACACCAATAAATAAATTCTTAAGCCCGGTGGTGGCGCACGCCTTTAATCCCAGGACTCAGGAGGCCGCCTGGTCTACAGAGTGAGATCCAGGACAGGCACCAAAACTACACAGAGAAACCCTGTCTCGAAAAAAAAAAACAAAAACAAACAAAAAAAAAAAAAAAACCATTTAAAAAAATTTAAAAAGATTAGTTGTGGTTGAACTTTGCCAGTCTCCAGGGTTGACAGAGCAGAAGCTGCGTGCCTGTTTGGAGGATAACATAAATGAACACGGTGCACACTGTCCCCACACGCCTGAATTTTCAGTCACCGGTGGAACAGAAGATAAGCCCAGTCTTCTGATGAGCTGCCTGGTAAGCCTCCATGGGATCTAGTCAGTTGTAAGAGCACACCAGCAGTCAGTTCTGTTCCCCTCTTGGTGGAAATAATGGCTTAGAAAAAGGTAAATAAACATGGTTTTTTTTTTTTGAGGGATTTACTTCACAGAAAGTATCAGCAGGGTGTGGTAGCACTTACCTGTAATCCTGTACTAGGGAGGCTGAAACAGGGAGTTTAAGGCCAGCCTCGACTGCATAGTGAGAACCTGTCTCAAAACCGGATGTTGGGCTGGCAGGATGGCTCAGTAGGTAAGAGCACTTGCTGCCAAGCCTGGCAACCCGAGTTCAAGCCTTGGACCTCATGTGGTAGAAGCAGAGAAACGTTCCTGCAAATTGTCTTTTGTCTTCCACAACATATAGTGTGCTTGTGTGTACACACACACACACACACACACACACACACACACACACGCACGAAGAATTGAAGCATATGGAATGAGTTTGCTGTGGGAACCAGTGTTAGTATATATGACATATTATAGCTTCCAGGTTCCAAACAGGGGAACTTTGGAGTCACTGAGTGCTACAATGTGCCAGATATTCAGTAGTAACCTGAACCACACATAAAATTGTCCAGTACTTTTGGGCTCCAGCTGTACCTGACACCAGGTTTCCCTTAACACTGCTGGAGTGACCTGTTTGTCTTTGTTTTTGAAGACAAGGAATATTTTTCTCCCACTTGTTTTTCTTACACCCACTGTATGTAGTTAATGGGTTTTTTTTTTTTTGGTTTTTCGAGACAGGGTTTCTCTGTGTAGCTTTGCACCCTTCCTGGAACTCACTTGGTAGCCCAGGCTGGCCTCGAACTCACAGAGATCCGCCTGGCTCTGCCTCCCGAGTGCTGGGATTAAAGGCGTGCGCCACCACCGCCCGGCCGTTAATGGGTTTTTACAAGTGAACTAAAGTGGAAGAGTTGAAGAGGCACAGGCCAAATGACCTCAGCCTCTGCCTTCTTAGAAAGTTTAAGTGCAAGCCGGGCTGTGGTGGTGCACGCCTTTAATCCCAGCACTCGGGAGGCAGAGGCAGGAGGATCTCTGTGAGTTCGAGGCCAGCCCGGTCTACAGAGCGAGATCCAGGAAAGGCGCAAAGCTACACAGAGAAACCCCGTCTCGAAAAATAAAAACAATAAAATAAAATAAAAAGAAAGCAAGTGCAGTGCTGAGATGGCTCTTTTGCAAGCATGAGGACCTGACTGAGTTTGGATCCCAGAACCCATATAAAGTCATGTAGGGGCCGGGCGGTGGTGGCGCACGCCTTTAATCCCAGGCAGGCGGATCTCTGTGAGTTTGAGCCCAGCCTGGTCTACAGAGCGAGATCTAGGACAGCCAGGGCTATTACACAGAAAAACCTTGTTTCGAAAAACAAAACAAACAAAAAAGCCATGTAGGCATGGTGGCTACCTATAATCCCCCAGTTCACGAGGCCAGAGGCAGGGAGATGCTTGAGACAAGCTGACTACAGACTAGCCAATCAAGGAACTCCAGGTTCAGCTGGAGTCCTTGGTCAATAGAGAGCAATTGAGGGAGACATCTGTCAACTTGAGGCCTACACACACACACACACACACACACACACACACACACACACACACGAAGAGAAATGGCACATCAGCCTTGTAGAATTTCAAATGGTAGCAGAGCTCATGTTAAATTCTTTTTTGGGGGAAATGTGGTCTACCCTGGCTGGTCTGGAACTTGCTACATATGCCAGGCTGGCCTCAAACTCAGAGATGTGCCTACCTCCTCTCCAGTGCTGGAGATGAAAGGTGTGCACCAAGTTCTTTTAAATGTCAGTTTCAGACCAAGTACTGGAGAGGATGGAAAGGGCAGTTAAAGAGCAAGCAGGCAGGCATGACAACGTATGCTGCTTGGGAAGCTGAGGTAGGATAATTTGAGCCCAGGAGTTTAAGACCAGCTCACCTAATAGTTCATGGCTAGAATGTAATTTACACTAACTTGTTTTCTGTTTAATCCAGGCTTGTGACACTTGGGCTGTGATCCTCTAGTCATCCTGGCCTCACACTTCACTGCTGGGCTGACAACTCATTCCCTCTGAGAGGGTCTCTGCATGCACAAGCCTCTTGTATATAACTTATTTTACATTAAAACTGTTCAAACATCTCTGCTCTTGGTGTTCTGATGCAGGGCAAAAGAAAAAGAATCTGATTCTTCTTGGAGGAGATAAGATCAATTTTATTGTCCATCATTATGTTATACAAAAACCTACAAACAATAGATTTATACAGGAGAAAAACACCCAAATGAGTAGCAGTTGGAAGCGTAGCAGCAATAATGCAAACCTGCTTCCTTCCTCCCATGGTATTAGGATGACAGCCATTTCAAAGCATAATTCTGATGTCAAGGTAGCTTTTGTTCACTGGCCAAAGCTTGCCATTTAAATTAAAGCCCTCAGTCTCTTGACAGTTCTACTGGCTCTTGACAAAACTTTTGAGATCTTCGAGAAAGGTGATATATTCTTGGTGCTCTAGGGCTGTACTGAGCTCCACCAACTCATCTGCAAAAGTGTTGTCCACCCCGCGGTCAGCAAGGAAATCCATCAGGTGGTCATACAAGGCCTGGGAAGAAAAATATCGAGTAGCTTGAACAACAGCAGAACAAGATTGAAAATGGGTTGGCAAGATGGCTTAACAGGTAAAGGTGTTGGTTTCTTGGGACCCACACAGTGGAAGGATAGAACCAAGTGCTGTGGGATGTTCTGTATGGCAAATATGTTGCTCTGATTGGTCAATAAATAAATCACTGATTGGCCAGTGGTCAGGCAGGAAGTATAGGCGGGACAAGGAGGAGAATAAAGCTGGGAAGTGGAAGGCTGAGTCAGAGAGACACTGCCAGCCGCCATGATGACAAGCCACATGTGAAGATGCCGGTAAGCCACAAGCCACGTGGCAAGGTATAGATTTATAGAAATGGATTAATTTAAGCTGTAAGAACAGTTAGCAAGAAGCCTGCCACGGCCATACAGTTTGTAACCAATATAAGTCTCTGTGTTTACTTGGTCGGGTCTGAGCGGCTGTGGGACTGGTGGGTGATAGAGATTTGTCCTGACTGTGGGCCAGGCAGGAAAACTCTAGTTACAACCAAGTCCCCAGAGTTGTCCTGTGACATTCCCACGTGGGCTACTGCACGTATGAAAACACAGAATGCCACTTCCATTCCTTGACCCTCTGCAACAGCCGAGCATCCTCCATCTCAGCTAGCACTCACCCAGTCCAGGGAGTCCGTGTTGAGTGTGTAGTTAGTATCCCTCCATTCAGAGTCACCAGTGGCTTGAAAGCTAACCTCCTTGATAGAGAAAATATCACTCTCGGCCTCATCTTCTTGTCCAATCTGAGGGACAGCAGAGGTTAAGAACTGAGGTGCCAAGAAAGGCCCTGCAGTTCCCACCCACTCTCACCTTCCTTCCCCTCCCGTCCTGGTCTAGATTACCAGATTCTTGTACATGCTACATGAGATCAGAAGACACTCCACCCTACAAACCTCATCCTCAGGATAGTGACAGTCCAGTACAAGGGTCTTCTTGCCATCACTCTTTGTGACTTCAACCACAAAATTGGGAGTTGATGTCAGTTCTGGCTGGAGAAACAGGGACAAGTCAGTACATGCCAGTGCTGTTGGGGTGCACACACCCAGACCAATGGCCCCAGGTGGTGCAGTGTCTGATACCCACTGCCATTAGGTTGGGATAACTTTAGCCTGTTGTAGAATATTATTTTAAGATGTGTTGCATTCTTTTATGTTGCATTTGTTTAACTCTGTGAAGCTGTTACTTTGCCTGTCTAAAACACCTGATGGTCTAGTAAAGAGCTGAACGGCCAATAGCGAGGCAGGAGAAAGGATGGGTGGGGCTGGCAGGCAGAGAGAATAAATAGGAGAAATCTGGGAGGAAAAGAAAGAGCAAGAGAACAAGGATAGGAGGACACTGGGGGCAGCCACCCAGCCACCCACCACCACAGAGTAAGAGTGAAAGTAAAAAAAGCCCAGAGGCAAAAGGTAAAAGGAATAATTTAAGCTAAGGAAAGTTGGCTAGAAATAAGCCAAGCTAAGGCCCGGGCATTCATGAGTAATAATAAGCCTCTGTGGGTAATTTATTTGGCAGCTGGATAAAGAAAACAAAAACATTAGCCAGGCTGTTGGGGCGCACACACCTGGACCGACAGCCTCAGGTGGTGCAGAGTGTGATAGCCATGGCCAACATAGCACTAAAGCAGTTCATCAATCCTGTTAGCAACTTCCTTTCTAAAAGAACACGGGGTTTACAGTGGTGTCTGAAGTCCAGGCACAGCTGTGAACCAGCTCTTGAGAGCTGTTTCTGCTCCTACACCCCGCAGAGATGGCTAAAGCATGGACCTGGAGCTCCTTCCCCTGCGGCTGCTTTAGATCAGGACTGGAGCCTGGCACACAGAGCTCTGGCTAAGTGACCACCTTAACTGGAAAATGCAGCAGCTTCCTTTTACGGTGACCTAAGGGACAGGCCCAGACAGTGGGTAAGGAGTCGGGGTGCACACTATGACAAGCACAACAGGGACTCTGCTGTTCACACTTGTGTGTAAACAGTGCTGACATCTGCTTAGTCAGATGGCCTGGGGATCCTGTGGCCCTCACAATGGTTGGCTTCTAAGCCAGGCATACCATTTCTAAAACACTTGAATATTACCTAGATCCAGCCATGTGGGCCAGCACCCTAAGGGAAAATCTCAGCTGGCCAAATGTTAATCTCTTAAGGCTGGGCTAGCAGGATGGCTCATCAAGTAAAGGTGTTTGCTGCTAAAGCCTGATGACCTCGGTTCAGCCCTGGGACCCGCATGGCAGAAGGATAAACTGATTCCTGGAAGTTGCTTTTGACTTCAAGTGCACACATACAAATAACATAACAAGTAAGTGAATGAATAAACACAATTTACATTTTTTTTTTCCTTAAGTCCCTCAGCCTTATTTTGGCCAAATGACTAGTATTGACCACCCAATTGTTAGAACATCTTTTACACTGAAACACGTCAAATGATACTGTCTTGATACCAAGAACTCCCCCGCCCCAAAACACAGGCATAGCTCCTTTGCTTTAAGAGAGCACAGGCCCAACAATAAAGCCTAGAACCTGCAGGGAGGCAATGTACACTAGAACAGGGCCCTCAACTCCAGCTGAAACTCATTCCAAACTACTGCTCTAGTCACAGGGAGTGACAGCCCCACCTCCTCCTAGCATGAGGAAAAATTATTTTTGGGAGGGAAGGGGGATTTTTTTTTTGAGACAGGGTTTCTCTGTGTAGCCCTGGCGGTCCCAGAACTCAATCTATAGACCAGACTGGCCTCAAACTCAGATTCCCCTTGCCTCTGTCTCTCAAGTGCCGGGATTAACTGCATGTAATACTAGGGCCTGGCTTCAGGAGAGAAATTTTTTAAAAGATGGGAAAAGAAACAGTCCTTCTAGCATGGTGTGGTGGCACATGGCTTTAATCCTAGCACTTGGGAGGCAGAGAAAGGCAGATGTCTGTGAGTTCGAGGCTAGCCTGGTCTATAAAGCAAGTTTCAGGACAGCCAGGGATGTTACACAGAGAAACCCTGTCTCAAAAAACCAAACCAACCAACCAACCAACCAAACAAAAACCCCAGCCCCCACCTTTCAGGACAGATAAATGGCTGGCTGCAGTATCACTAGCTTACCTCTTGTTCTTCAGCCTTCTGCCCTTGTGAGGGCTCCTCTTCACCATCAAATGTTGGAGGGATGCTGTTGTTAATGTTGAAAGTGACAGTGATCCTAGAGAGGCAAGTGAAAACACACTAAGGTACAATGTTAACTGAGGGATACACAGAAGAGGGAGGCCTGCTACAGTAACACCCGTGCAAAGGCACGCTGAAACAATGTCTCCACCCCAGCTGGCTGTGCTGGGAACTGAGAAACTTTTAAACAAGGCTGGCATCCTGGTGTCTTTCCAGGGAAGCTGATGGAGGTGAGCAGTCATCTGCCCCAGAAAAAAAGCCTCACAAAACACAGCCCAACAGATTCACCTTGCACAATCACACTTTGCACAATCACAAACAAGGAACTGAAACACCCAGTAACTTTTCCTTTCTCCCTTTTTGAGGTTCTGGAGCTCAAACACCTTGTGTATGTTTGGCAAACGTTCACAGCTGCATCCTGGCCCTTTTGTGGTAACTTTAGGTTGTACGAATCTTTATGTGACGAATCTTTTTTTGTTGTTGTTGGGTTTTTGTTTTGTTTTGTTTTTCGAGACAGGGTTTCTCTGTGAAGCTTTGGAGCCTGTCCTGGAACTTGCTCTGTAGACCAGGCTGGCCTTGAACTCACAGAGATCCACCTGGCTCTGTCTCCTGCTGAGATTAAAGGTATACGCCACCACCGCCCGGCCAAAGCATGTCTTAAAATGAGATAAATTCCTTTGCCATGACGCCTGGAAGCAGTTCGGGACTATTTCTACTTCAGCAGAGCCAACCCATGTAAGAGCACACTGAATGCTGCTTCCTGGAGCCGAACTGGTCAATGCCTTGCTGTCAGGCTGCTTTGTCATAGAAAAAGAATGGCAGGCTGAACCATAAAACACGCCTAACTTGGACTAAGCTGGGTTCCTGGGCCACAAAATGGGCTGAAAAACCCTAAAATGATTTAGGTGAAGTTACAAGTGATCTATGTATATTATGCTGTGCAAAACAACAACAACAACAACAACAACAACAACAATAAAACACCCCAAACAAACAAAAAAACAAATCGAAACCTTTCACAAAATGGGTCACAGACCGTAAGGTCTGAAACTGTAGAACTGTAAGAAAACAGACTCAAATCTTTGCAACCCTTGCCCAGGCAATGGTTTCTTAGCCCTAACACTAACAAGTCTAAGTGTGTGCTGCGGCGGCGGTGGGGATGGAGCCCAGAGCCTCACACGTCAGGCAAGCAGTTTGAATATGGCGTACACTCTCCCCTTACGTATGCAAGAACTCAATCCCCAAAGTTAATGAGAATATTAAGAGGGGGAGACGTCTCCCCGATCCTCGGTGATGGGGATCAAGTCCAGGGTACCTCCTAGTCTAAAAGAGTGGAAGTGTCAACTGTGGTGTTAGAAAGGGGGCCTTTGCTGGGCATACTCAAGCCAGATGGGCTCCCGCCCCACTCAAGATATCTGCAATTGGCACTGGTTGCCAGGGAAAAAAATCAAGTCTTCTACAAAGGAGTATCAGTGCCTGTATCAATCACACTTCAGGGTAGGCCCCCAAAGCCAACACAAAACAATCTCAAGGATATTTTTGTAGACATTACTCTGTAGACTAGACTAGCCTTGACTTTAGAGATCCACTGGCCTCAAGTACCGGGATTAAAGGTATGCCTGGCAGTTTGTTTTGCTTGTTTGTGTTTTTTTTTTTTTAAAGAGAGAGAGAAAGAAAGGGTATGGAGCTGGGTGGATAGGGAGAATCTGGTAAGGGCTAGGGGAGGGTGATTCCCCAAGATTGAATTTGAGAGGCTTTAAGGAGACAGAAACCACAACTTTATCACCCTGCCAGAAGGCCATCACTAGCTGCACCCACAGTCTAGACCCTCTCCTGGCCTTGAACTTCCTTCCTTCCTCTTCTTCTTTTTTTTTTTTTTTTTTTAAAGGTTTTTTGAGATAGGGTTTCTCTCTGCAGCCTTGGCTGTCCTGACTCTCACTCTGTAGACCAGACTGGCCTCTCTGGGATTGAAGGTGTGCACCACCACCACCACCACCACCACCACCACCACCACCACCACCACAGCCTGGCCTTGAAATTTCTTATCTCCGCCCACATCTATTGCTAGGATGACAGGCCCCCACTGAGTAAAACTGCTTTCTTATACTGTGAGAGCGCACTGTGCTCTCGAGGCCCTGGGGATTGATCCTGGGCCTTGCACTTAGCAGAGCCAGAGTAGGACTTCTCTAAGGAAGACGGGGTGAATGAGTAACACAAAATAGCACAAACAAGGGCTTCACAGTTTTAGGGCACCAGGTGTGGTGGCACAGGCCTATGACTTCAGCACATAGGTGTCTCAAGCAGGAGGACCAAGAGTCTGTGGCCAGTCTGTGCTAGAGCGCAAGATAGAGACCCTGTTTCCAAAACAAAGCAGTTTAGGGGACAGGGTGAGCTAAGCTTGGCTAAGAACTCTCTACCTCTGATGGCCTCTCTATACTGTAACTTCATCCTGTTACTTAAGAGTTACATAGCTTTCATTCTCAACCACTACAATCGCCAGCCAGAGGGGATAATTTTATGTGAATCCTAAACAAGTGAATTTGTCAGTACTTTAAACATCCCTAAAATTCCAGTGCCTAAATCCAGGCAAGGCACAGAACTGTCATCAGTAACCCAATGCTGGTTGTCTGCCATCCCAACAGACTCCCGATACACATTTTGGAGCTGCTTAATGTCTCCTTAATTACCAGGCCTTAGCAAATGTGTATCAGTGAATGTACTCCCTGGAACCTAAGAAAATTTCTAATTACATTCTTCCTCAAAAACCACTTTATCAAAGCACTGAGCCTAATCAGGACCTTCTTGGGATGGCCAGGACAAGGTGCTGCAGAGTAAGGGATTCAGTCTCCTAGAACCCCTGGGCCAGTACTTACTTTTCTCCAGCAACTTTGCGCAATAATTTAGCCTCCGTCCCGTTCACTTCCAGCTCCCAATCTCCAGACATCTTGGGAAGGGACTTATGCTTCTGGATTTTCTTCTCTTCCTTAATTTCATCCGTCAAGAATTCAACAAAGGCTTTGTCTCCTAAAAGGAAAAACCAAGATGGTCCAAAAAGAGAAAAGCCCATTTGCTTTACCCTGTAGACCTGAACTGTGTCTAATCTGTTTCTATGGCTGCTCTAAGACTTCTAGCCCAACTGACGCCTAAAAACGTCCGTTTCCGCTCTGTAAAAACACCAGGATGTATTTACTGGGTTCCAGAAGTTATTTCTCATCACGGACTATCATTACTCTCCGTACAAAACAAAAGCATTTCCAACTACCCGCTTCCACTTGCCGAAAGACATGACCAGCATTTTCAAACCACGACCCCTCCGGGCTTTTGCCAAGTCACATTTCCAAGACACGAGGAGGGGAGCCAGCGATCACGAGTGTCCAGCTCGGGATCCGTTCCAAGCTGGGCCCCTGCACCCCAGCCTAGGTGTGCGAACCTTACCCTCGGTGTGCAGAGCTCCACAGCCGCACGAGCAGGGCGCCGGGGGCTGCAGGAGGCCGGAGCGCCGCGCGGAGCCCGCTCGTACGCTGAGCAGCCCGAAGGGCCGGAGGCACGGCCGGGGCGCGGGCTGCAGCAGCTGCCGGAGCGGCGAGGCGGGGACGGCGGCGCGGAGGCCCGTGGCAGCGGCGCCCAGGGCGCGGGGCACGCAGCGCAGCAGGGGAAGCATCGCGGGGAGGACACGTGCCGAGGGAAGGACGACCGGGCCAAGACACCGGATGACCTAGCGCACCGCCGGAAGCCCCGCCCCCGCCCGGGAAGCTCTTTTACGTCAGAGGGCGGCAGGCACCGGGCCAGACTGCGCCCTCTGCTGGGAGCCGCCAGTGCAGCGGGGGAGGCCCCCGAATCCCGTAGCCGTGTTCTCTGCCTGGCTGCCCACTCTCCCCACCCTTTTCTCAAGCCACACCAGGCTTTGTTACTTCGTGGAACGCGCTCAGGTCTCACCTCAACTCGCGCCGGACATAATACTCCAAGATCATCTCACTTAAAGGTCTTCTGGAACAGCCTAGATATCGGGAGAGCTCAGGCTGACCTGCACCCAGCTGCTGTGGAGTGGGCATCCTGGCCCCCCACCACACTAGACCCGGACCCAAGGGCAGGATGGATTCATTTTGGAAACCTCTGCACCCCCTAACATTCATCCAGGTTTTAATGGAGCAGGAATTCATGGCTTACACCATCACATTTAGGTTAAGAATCAAGGACACCAGGGGCTGGAGATAAGGCTCAGTGGTCTTAAGAGCATTTATTTGTTGCTCTTGCATGCCAGCTCACAACCATCTAACGAGTTCTGGGGCATCAGACACCCTCTTTTGACTTCCATGAACACCTGGCGAGTATGTGCATAGACATGCGGGCAAACCACACAAACACATAAAACAACAAACACACACTCGTGTCTTACACTCCCCAGCACCTGGGACGCAGACAGCTCTCTCTGAGTTCTAGGCCAGCCTGGTCTACATAGTGGGTTTCAGAACAGCCAGGGCTACATAGAAAGATCTGGTCTCAAAACACCAAAACCAAAAGAAAACACAGATACCAAGTCTTACCAAATGAATGGCAATAAGGCTAATGTTTAATATTCTAAACAGCAGTCTATAAATAAGGGAAAGGAGGCCCAACAAAAGAGGGCACACAGATCATAAACAAGATTCATTTTTTTTATGGATTTGATAGTCCAAGGCAAATTTAAGCATTACACACAAGAACTGTTTTTATGTTATGTCTGAGATCAGATAGAATACAGCACAAGTCCAAATCAACTTGATATTTTTGCTCTTTAGTTTTTTTCTACACTATAGCAATCAATATAAAAATTTTCCCCACAGGTACAGTCTAGCTTATGTGCTCAAGGAATGGCATCTTAGATGCATGGCCATAGTTCCAAACAGATCCTGGTAGCTGGAGTACAAGGATTTGTGTCACAGTAAATGTTTTGCTGTTTTGGAATCCTATTACAACAGACAGAGGTGTAAAGGTTTTCACTGGGGACCTGGTAATAAAACCCTGGCCCTGGGTGTTGCAGGGCTGTTGAAGGTCATGTTTGAGGCTCTTCTGTCCAGATAGGATTCTTCAGGTTGGAGAGAGTTTACCAACTGGAAAAGTAGTTCAGGTTGTATTGCAGTAAAATCATGAAAAATTTTATATTTCTCTAAGTAACAGCCCTGGCTGACCTGGAACTCGCTTTGTAGACCAGGCCGTCCTTGAACTCACAGAGGTCCACCTGCCTCTGCCTCCCAAGTGCTGGGATTAAAGGCGTGTGCCACCACTGCCAGGCAACATTTTCCATTCTTAAGAAAGCTTAAAGGGCACTGTCCCTGCGGTTCAAGATAATTATTAACTTCTTTGTAGTAATATGTGGAGTCAGAATGGGGTTTCCATCTGATTTAATCCCTGAGCAGCTTTGTTAAAAAGCTATTTTTTAAAAGCCCAATAAAAAACTAAATACTCTATTAAAATTCTACCCCAATGTTAAAGTGATGAACGCATTTCTGTACAGAAACATTAAAGCTATTCAGAAACTCCACCCTTCACTCCTTTTCTGGTAAGTGCCTAGCACTCTCACTGCAGCTAGTCAACCCAGGGTACGTTTCCAGTGCCGGCTCTGGAGTCATTCAACGGAAGCTAAGTTTTCCTTGACTCAGAAAACACCCTCTTCGTTTACTGGGGAACAGAAACTGCTCATTGTTGAGGAAATTATTGCCCCCCTTGTATTCTTTAACCAGCATAATGAATGCTCTATTAAAAATACAAAAGTTTCTCTTCCCAAGCAAGGCTAAATAAACACCCCAGCCCCTTTGTTTAAATAGGAAAAAATAAACTTTAAAAGGAAAGACTTTCTTGATAGCTTTTCATAAAGTTGATAATGTAACCATTTTATCAAAGAACTAAGTCACGAGTACACAGACAACCCTAAACACTGGCTAAAAGCTTGACTGCTCATGGTTAGGGTTATAATAAAGCCTAGACTGGACTCAACATACACACTGTGGACCAATGAGGCCCTGGAATGGAAGTGTCCAGGCAGGCTAGGCCCTCTGGAAAGAGCTTGTTGGACCCGAGAAAAGAAACTGCCCTCTGTCTTTGAGGTACACTGTAGGCAGTTTGGCCCTCTGCTTATAAACAACACAATTCATTGTATAAATGACAAAACCTAGTAGCAGAGATATGTCTGGACCAACTAAGTACAATAAAAGGGCTAAATTTGGCTGTTTCTAGGTTCAAACATTTTCTGGGAAAGTGTGCTTTTTTTTTCTTCCTCCACTAGGCTAGCCCAGAAGCCTCACTCCTCCCCTCTCAGCCAGGTTACAGGTATGAACCACCACACCAGGGATTGTTTGCTCCTAACAATCAACTAAGATGAGTCTTTTCCAAACAGGTACAGGATGGACAGGCTTCTCTACTTCCCTCTGACAAATGCAGATAATGAAGGTCTGAGAGAGCATCTGGTTAGGAAGTAGCAAAGCTAACTGTCCCCAGGTCCCTGCAGAGAAGAAAAGAGGATACTGAAAATCATCAAGACCAAAGCACAAAGACTGAGGGTGGTGAAAGGACAAACTGACACTCTGGCTTCTGAAACATCAACTATCTGTCCCCTCCCTGCCACCCAGCAGCTCTGACTTGGGCCCCACCTGAACAGAGGATGCTGAATGGGTGTGAAGCCTCCCTCATGTGCACAGTCCAAGGGAAAATCACCACTGGGCTTTTCAGAAGGCCACTGCACTGAAAAGCTGGCTTTCCAGTTTCAGGAAACCTGCATGTCTCCTGAAAGCATCACTGGGGACGGGCAACCACAGAGGCACTGAGGACCAGTCAAGGAACTCCTTGCTGGTCTCTGCTTGGAGACAGACAAGAGAATGTGCTACACCCCGAGCTATCAGAATACACCTTACTCTGGCACTGTCTGTGGGAGTTCGTTTCTTCTGTTTTCTATTTAAAAGACATATAGGTAGACATTAAAATAGTAGTGAAGGCTGGGGCTTGGCTCAGTGGCAGAGTGTTTGCATAGCATGCATGAGGCCCTGGGTTCCATGAGGGGAGGAGGTGGCAAGGGGGAGAAACACTGAGGTCAATCAATTGGATCTGTAGCTTCCTATGGCTCCTCCCAGAAACTCCCCCTCCCCCAGTCACAAGAGCTCAAAGGGCTGTGTTGTACCTAGTTAGTATCACAAAGCACAATGGCTTACAATTCACTGATTGTCTTATCTTATGCCAGGCAAATCTCTGGGTAGCTTTCTATTCATTTTCTCTAAACTTCTAAATCCTATCCCCCTCTAGCCTATAAGGAAACTGAGGCTCAGGAGTTAATTCAGACCCTCAAAATCGCCCAGTCAAACCCAAAGCACAATTCTCATTTCTTGTGGTCTAAGTATGAGCATTGTCTGCATGGCTGAGGTTGAGAAGTTTCATCAACACTTTCAAGCTCTTGAACTCAGCAAGTCTGGCTGCACTGAAGTGTGTGGTTTCTCCAGCTTCCGAGTCTACTTGGAAGTAACTGTGATCTAAGCTCCTGATCAGTTTCTGGCAGTCCTCAGCTTCCTCCGGAAGTAGTCAGGGGCGGCTTCGTAGAGCCACTCGGCATCCACAACACAGAGGTCACGCATGTAGCATTTGTTGGTGTAGAGTAGTGCGGTGTATACCACACAGGCAGGCTTGCAGTGGAAGAGGACAGATGACGGGTGGATGGCCACTGGCTGGTGCGTGTCCGTGGTGGCATAGGTGCCATCTGGCTGGAGTTCGGCAGTACTCATAAAGAGGCTGTGAGCGAGGCAGCGACGGACACTCTCCATGTCCCCTCGAGATGACATGATTGGCATTGACATCTGTTTTAGGAAACAGAAAAGCCCCCAAACATTAATCCTCCCCATCACTGTACAGAGCAGAGGGCAGCAAGATCTCCAGTGCAGCCAATGCCAACGGAAACCTTGATCTACAGACAAAAGGTGGCACTTCAATTGCCACAGGCAGCAGCTCAGGGGGAGGATGAAGGCATGGATGAGAAAGACAAAAAACAAAAACAGGGAAATGACAGCCTAGTAAAGGTGGTCCTAGGAGAGAGACCTCCACGCAGGCTATACGCTGTACACAGGTCGGCTGTGTTGAGCACCAATTTCCTCTGAGATGAAACCATCCAGCTTGGAGAGAAGCATCTTACTCAGGATGGGGGCCAGGTGGTGGTGACGCAAGCCTTTAATCCCAGCACTCGGGAGGCCGAGGATCTCTGTGAGTTGGAGACCAGCCTGTTCTACAGAATGAGTTCCAGAGCTACACAGAGAAACCTTGTCTCAAAAAACCAAACCAAAATAAACAAACAAACAAGCAGGATGGGGGCTGGAGAGACGGCTTAGCACTTAAGAGCTCTGGCTGCTCTTCCAGAGGACCTGGGCACAAGTCAAAGCACCCATGTGACAGCTCACAACTGTCTAGTCTCCATGTCCAGGGAGGCTGAAGTCAGCCCAGCCCCACGAGATCACTGAGGAGGACAGGGCTGAGGACAGCTTTGGAATCTGACAGTCCCAAACCTGAGGGTGCTGGGTGGACCAACCTGTGGAGCCACTCACCTGCCATGAGGTTCACTGATAGAGACCCTGAAGCTCCTGGAGATCCCAGTGCAGAGTCTGCCTTCCGCTCCCCCACACCCAGCACACTGCACACAAACTCCCTAATTAGAACAGCAGCGGTCCTGGGTGCATGAACTAGGGAGGCCCGGACACTGCAAAGCTGAGCGCAGTCCCAGAGGCGTCTGGACCATGAAGAAGGGAAGCTACTAAAATGAAGACAGCTTCAGCAGACAGGATGCTTGTCCAACACAGGCTCAGCACCAGCACAAACCACAGGAAAGATGGGGACAGAGTTTCCATTCTCCTTACTGAACACTGGGTAGCCTCTAAGTTTCAAGTATACAGCAAAGTTATTACATACATAGGCAAGACCCTGGTTTAAAAAAAAAGCTACATCTTTTTGCCTCTCTGGTGTTTTCTGATTTTTCTTCAGTTTAGTAGTATTTTTTTAGATCAGAAAATAGTTACAAAGTTTATAAAATTTATGCATGAGGTCCAGGGTTCCATGCCCAGTACTGCCCCCCTCAAAAAAAAAAAAAAAAAAAAAAAAAGGAATGTAGGTTACAGATACAATGTAACTATGTGAAAGATAAGCTAAAGGGCTCAGAGGCAGAGCACTGCCTAGTGGGTCCAATCACTGGGCCTGGGGTGGGGGGGGGAGGGGAAGAAAAAAAACAAACCCAAATCACTATGGATTTCTAGGAACAAATCACAATTGTGTGTGTGTGTGTGTGTGTGTGTGTATGTGAGAGAGAGAGAGAGAGGGAGAGAGGGAGAGAGAGAGAGACAGAGAGAGAGAGAGAAAAAGGCCAGTAGAATTATGGGTAACTTTTACTTTCTTGTGCATTTTAAATTCTTCTACAGCCAGACGGTGGTGGCGCACGCCTTTAATCCCAGCACTCAGGAGGCAGAGCCAGGCGGATCTCTGTGAGTTCGAGGCCAGCCTGGGCTACAGAGTGAGTTCTAGGAAAGGCGCAAAGGTACACAGAGTTTTCAAACCCTGTCTTGAAAAACCAAAACCAAACAAACAAACAAAAAACCAGAGTGAGATCCAGGACAAGGACCTTACACAGAGGATCCCTGTCTCGAAAAACCAAAAATTTTTTTTCTACAATGAGAATTTCTTTCATACCAGCAGCAGCAAGCAATCCAAGATCCCCATAGTAAAATAAAAACTCCTCCTTGAAAGGGAGGTACTACCTTTAAGCAGATTTCCCTTAGCTGTGCTCTGACTTCAGCTACAAGCAGCATATTCCTGCTGTTGACAAAATTCTCTTTGCACCAGTCCTGAAAAGAAAAAAAAGGAGATGTTGTGGAATATTATTTTAAGATGTGTTACATTTGTTTATGCTGTGGAATATTTGTTTAATGATGCAAATATGTGTTGCATTCTTTTTTTTTTTTTTTTTTTTAATTTATTTATTATGTATACAGTATTCTGCCTACACACCAGAAGAGGGCACCAGATCAAATTACAGATGGTTGTGAGCCACCATGTGGTTGCTGGGAATTGAACTCAGGACCTCGGGAAGAGCTGCCAGTGCTCTTAACCTCTGAGCCATCTCTCCAGCCCGTGTTGCATTCTTTTATGCTGCATTTGTTTAACTCTGTGAAGCTGTGATACTTGTCTGTCTAAAATACCTGATGGTCTAATACAGAACTGAATGGCCAATAGTGAGCAGGAGAAAGGACAGGGAGCTGGCAGGCAGGGGAAATAAATAGGAGAAATCTGAGAAGAAAGAAGAAAGAGCAAGAGAACGAGGAGAGGAGGATGCTAGAGGCCAGCCACCCAGTCACCCTGCCACCCATGTAGTAAGAATGAAAGTGAGATATACACAAGTTAGAGAAAGGTAAAAGCCTAGAGGCAAAAGATAGACAGGATAATTTAAGAAAAGCTGGCTAGAAATAAGCCAAGCTAAGGCCAGGGTATTCATAAGTAATAATAAGCCTCTGTACGTGTGATTTATTTGGGAGCTTATTATGTATCCTGGCACAGCCTACCAGACCCTGTTGAAAAGCATATCCTTAGTGCTGGGTGTGGTGGCACATACCCGTGGTTCAGCCCTTGGAAGGCTGAAGATTCCAAGTCGGAGGTCAACCTGGGTTACACACATAAGCAAGACTCTGCTTAGTGACAAACAAATTGATGATATCCTCTTGGTGGAACACACACCAAGGGCAGGACAGTCTTCAGTAAAGAAGGACTCAGTGCTTTGACTGCATCAGCACTTCTTTTTTTTTGAATATTTATTTATTATGTATACAGTATTCTGTCTGCACGCCAGAAGAGGGTACCAGATCTCATTATAGATGGTTGTGAGCCACCATGTGGTTGCTGGGAATTGAACTCAGGACCTCTGGAAGACCAGTCAATACTCTTAACCTCTGAGCCATCTCTCCAGCCCAATCAGCACTCTTTTTTGTTTAAATATAAATTGAGGGCCAGCGAGAGAGCTCAGCTGGTAAAGATGCTTGCTGCCAAATCTGAATACCTGAATTAAAGCCCCATGTACTCATAACCATAGGACAGAACCAACTCCTACAAGTTGTGCTCTGACCTCTATAGGTGCCATACGGCAACATGTATATATGTGTGTGCACACAACCCATGCACACTTGAACACACACATGCAAAGTATAAACATAAACAAGCAAAGGTAAATACAGCAAAGTTAGCAAATACTAAAAATGTAGGGTAGCATTTTTTAAAGAATACACACTAAGGCACAATTATGAATTTATTAACACATGAGAGAATATACTGCCATTTCCCATCTTAGTATGAGGAACTAAAATATGATATCAAAAAACTAGCACAACAGTGGGGCAAGCAAACCATCTTGTATGGTTAGATACGGTCTGAACACTCTCCAATGCTTCACTGAATACCTACTGTGAAACATTAAGTGGAAACTTAATTCAATCATGGTATTTGTGGGGCAGCAAGATGGCTCTGTGAGTAAGGTTTTTGCCACCACGCCTAATGACCCAAGTTTGAGCCCTGGGATGCACATGGTGGAAGGAGAGAACCAAAAGTTGTCTTCTGACCTCCACACATATGCTCCCTCTTTCCCTATATGAACAAATAAAGTACAATTTAAAATTTAAAATAAACTGGGTATAGTGGGACATGTCTTTTTTATCTTAGCACTTCAGGCAGATCTCTGAGTTTTAGGCCAGCCTGATCTACACAGTGAGTTCAGGATAGCCAGAGCTACATAGTAAAACCTTGTCTCACAAAAGAAAACAAGCCGGATGGTGACGATGGCGGCGGTGCTCACCTTTAATCCCAGCACTCAGGAGGCAGAGGCAGGCGTATCTCTGTGAGTTCGAGGCCAGCCTGGTCTATAGAGCAAGTTCTAGTACAGCCAGAGCTACACAGAGAAACCCTGTCTTGAAAAAACAAAAACCAAACCAAACTAAAACCCTTTAAAATAAATAGCTGGGCATAACAGTATCACATGCTTTTAATCCTAGCACTTGGCAGGAAAAGGCAGCCAGATCTCTACGTGAGGTCAGCCTACATAGAGAATTCCAGGCCTTGGAGTTATGTAGTGAGAACCTGTTTCAAAAAAACAAAACAAATTTTAAAAACTTTGGGGCTAGAGAGCCAGGTCAATGGTTAACCCAGCCTGCTCTTTCAGAGGACCAGGTCCAATTTCCACCACTCACACGGTGGCTTACAACCATCTCTGGGAATCTGACGCCTCTGGTTTCCACAAGAACAGCAAGCATGTGGTGCTTAGATACACAAGAAGGCGCACACACACACACCCCAATATAAAAATTATGGTGTTTATAATAGCAGCAGGAAATCTGGAAAATGACTGGGTTTAAATAAGGCCAGAAGGTAGAGCCCCGTGACTGAATTCCCACTGGTTCCTAACTAGGCAAAGAGGAAGAGACCAAACACACACATTGCCTTTCTCTTGCTGTGTGATGCTCTGTTCTACCTTGAAGCATCAGATAAGGCTTCTAAGTCTTACCAGTCTAGAACATGAGCCAAAATAAATCTCTTTTCTTTATAAAATGGCCTGTCTCAAGTATTTTTTTACGGTAATGAATAATGGGAATAATGGCCTAGAGCTAAGCGTAGTGGCACCCACCTTTAATTCTAGCATTCTGGAGGCAGAGGCAGGTGGGTATCTATGTGTTCCAGGTCAGCCTGGTCTATATATGAGTTCCAGGACAGCCAGGGTTACAGAGACTTTGTCTCAAAACAAAACAAAACAAAACAAACAAACAACAATCAAAAGAAAAGAAAAAGGGATAATTGTGGTGGTTGAGACAGAGTCAATGACTTAACTAACTTGTCCACACAGTGTGTGTTAAACCAAGCAGAAGGAATACCTGAACTAATGTTTCATTCTAGTGATTGCCAGCACATACACATTTCTGATGACAGCTGGCTTTTTTTGTGTGTGTGTGTCTTTTTTTTTTTTTAATGGTTTTTTCAAGACAGGGTTTCTCTGTGTAGTTTTGGTGCCTGTACTGGATCTCGCTCTGTAGAACAGGCTGGCCTCGAACTCACAGAGATCCGCCTGGCTCTGCCTCCTGAGTGCTGGGATTAAAGGCGTGCGCCACCACTGCCCGGCATGTGTGTGACTCTTTAAGATGATTTTGTCAAAAAAAAGAAAAGGTATACTTAAAAACACATGCCCGAAAGCACGGACAAGGCTCACCTTATTCCCACCTATGTTTTTGAAGGTCCGATAGATATTGAGCAGGGTGATGTGATCCCCCTCACTGGATATGAATTTCTTCCGGACACTTTGCACTTCATCTCTCCGGGCAGGAGGGTTGTAAAGGACACTGTCCACAGATAGCAGGGAGACTATGGTCAGAATCTCTTCCGTACAGTGGAATTTGGAGGACAGGAGGATAGTCTGGAAAGTCAGATTGCAAACGCATGAGTCAAGTTTCCTAGCTTCTGATTAGTGTTTCTGTATACTCTTGCAGCTTCCCTTTAAGGAGCGTGGTGGCTTTAAGACCACAAGGCAGTGTCAATGCCATTCACTTCTTTGTAAAACAGAATGATGCCATCCCCACAGGATTCCACACAGAGGATTTGTGGGTAGGGCTATGACTGATGTCTTAATCCCACACACAACACAAATCAGCACTGTATACAAAGTGGGGTGATATGTCATATTTAAGAATGCAAATGAGGTTAGTTCAGAAGCACTGGGCATTTCCTGACCTGTAATACAGAGAAAGGTAATGAGGAGGAGGGGTCATTTACTTTGGCAAATTTGGGCTCTAAAGGAAATGCTGCCATCTTTCTTCCAATTGGAGTCAGGGTAAGCTGGTCATCCTTATGTTCAAGAGCACCTAACAGGTCCAGTTGGGCAATGGCCGCCTGAATGTGATCTACAGAAACGGAGACACAAAAAGGAGCCAGAAGTCCAAAACAGGAAGAAGATGCAGCTAGTTGAGTGCTTCTGGGCGCTTATAACTCTACCCCCAAGGCCACCCGCCACTGTGCTCATACTTTTCTAAGCCTTAATGGTACCACAGAAGAAGAAGAGAAGTATGCAGCAATTGTGGAGAGCAGTTACCAAGAGGGATGGGAAGGAGGCAAATGGCTCTGGGCAGGGCTTGGCTCCCACGGTGTGGGCAGCATCACACAGATGCTGGCCGTTTACCCTTATAGTTTATATTTATTATTCCTTTCTAGGAATTTCAAAATGAAATATAAATATATACATAGGAGTGTGCCCTATGTGTTTTTTTTTTTTTTTTAAGATTTACAGATTTTTGTGTAGAAGACAGCCAGAACATGTTTCTTGAGAGAAGAAGACCTGAACTGAGGACCAGGGTGGGACCCGGGATAGCTATTGACAGCTTACTTTCTCTCTTACAACTGCGTTTCCTTAAAGAAAAGGAAAATGGCACAGTAATAAGGGTCCAGGTCCAAAGCTGCCACCATTTTGTGTCGGTTCTTCCTCCAGGAGTGATTACTAATGAAGGAGGACCAGTCAAATCCCAGTTTCACACAAAGGACCATGCTCTCTTTATCCTTTCACTGGCCTTCAGGGGCGTCCCTGATGCCTGATGACCTCCCTGGACCCTGCATAAGGGTGCTATAACACGGAACCTATCATGTCATAACAAATGAAATCAAATCAGCAGAAGAACATGACCAAAATACTTTTTTTTTTCTTCCTCAAAATACTTTTCCTGGGGGAAGAAGTCCTCTGCTGTTGTCTGTCTGTCTGGCTTCCAGCTTACCTGGAGATGGTTTGGACATGAAGTCAAAGGTGAGCACATTGGGGACTTTCATCGCTAGGAGCTGCAGTATCACACTTGCCAGGTTACACCTGTGAGGGGAGAAAGGAGGGTCAGTCGTCCGTCCCTGACCTGCTGAGAGCGTTAGTGAAAGCCAAAGCCCGTGGGCAGAAGCAGATGGGAAGGAGGCTGGGATATATGGCATGGTGCAGGCACAACATGGACCTACCTCTGGATCTCTGGCACCGTCATCTTCTCAAACTTGTCAAACTCATCCTCGGTGTAAAGCCGGTAGCAGATGCCACTGTCTTCTCGGCCAGCCCTCCCTGTGCGTTGCCAGGCCTGTGTCTTTGACACTCGCTGTACAGCTAGTACCTCAAGACCACTGTCTGCAGGGAGAAAAGGCCATGAGTGCTTTGCTTTATCACATAAGCAAACTGTTTCTAGAGTGCTGGCAAAAAGAAATGATGCTGAGTACCACTGAGTGTTTCTGCAACACGGGGGTCCGGAAAAACTCAAGGCTAAGCAAGAAAGCACAAACCCAGGCTGCTCAGCCACTTTAAACCTCACAGTGAAACTGAGCCTAGCAATGAATCATGTGTGAAATGTTATGAAAAACACCACAACACCCTCCGAAAGCAAGGGGGCAGAATGGTTTCAGAAGTTTGGGCCTTCAACTTAACGTGCCAGGCTTTGTTGACTCCCCATGGGAGGCCTTACCCTTTTGGAGGAGTGGATGGGAGGTGGGTTGAGGGGGAGGCATGGAGAGGGAGCTGGAGGAGGGGTGGGAGGGGGTACTGTAGTTGGTATATAAAATGAATTTAAAAAAGAAAAGAAAAAGAAGAAGTTTGGGCTTACATCATGGGAAGACTGACTACCCAGCCGAGCGGCACTGAGGGTTTCTTGGGGATTTTGGTGCGGAGAGAGTTTCTATCTAACTGGGAAGGCTGGTCACACACCAACCAATGATGACAGGGTCCTTTGTCCTCCCTCCCAGTTCTATAAGAACAGATCATGTGACTTTTTCCCCTGGAAGTAAAAGACATCAATTCTCTCAAGTACGGGAATATTTTGTGCCAGGCACTAGAGGTTGACATGTTGTCACCAGGAGATATGTGTGAAAGTCGATCCCTCCAGCTTAGTAGAACATACCAATTAAATATTGAGGAGCAATAATAATTGTAGGGGCCCTAAATCCTCTGTAGAATAAAGCAAGGTATGAATCAGACATGCATAAGACTGACTTCAAGGCAGCTTGACACTTGCAAGTGCTTCCCTCTATGCTTGCTGGGAACCCTGTCCAGCCAGGGAACCTGTCTCCTTGCTGGGAACCCTGTCCAGCCAGGGTACCTGTCTCCTTACTGGGAACCCTGTCCAACCAGGGCACCTGTCTCCTTGCTGGGAACCCTGTCCAGCCAGGGAACCTGTCTCCTTACTGGGAACCCTGTCCAGCCAGGGCATCTGTCTCCTTACTGGGAACCCTGTCCAGCCAGGGTATCCATTTCCTTACTGGGAACCCTGTCCAGCCAGGGTACCTGTCTCCTTACTGGGAACCTTGTCCAGCCAGGGAGGGTATCCATTTCCTTACTGGGAACCCCATCTAGCCAGGGGTACCCATCTCCTTACTGGGAACCCTGTCCAGCCAGGGCACCTGTCTCCTTACTGGGAACCCTGTCCAGCCAGGGCACCTGTCTCCTTACTGGGAACCCTGTCCAGCCAGGGCACCTGTCTCCTTACTGGGAATCCTAAAAGCCCAGACATCCACACTCTGGTAGCCCTCCGGAGAGCCTGCCACCGGTACCAGGCCGTCCCTGGCCTTCTTGCTACCATTCTCCCCCAGCTTCCAGTGGGCTTTCACACCTCAGTCCAGGATCTCATCTGTCCTTTCCAGGTTCTCTGCAACTGAGTCCTCTCTTGCCTTCCTGCCTCAGGTCTCTTTTATGGACCTGACTTGGAACTGTCCCTGTCACTCAAATCTCAGCTCCTCACAAACATGAAGTGTTTCCTTGGAGGAAATGGTGGGGTTACAGCTTTAACCACTGCTCGCTACACGCAGGGGACATTCAGGAGCTACAGTTCTCACCAGGGTTATACTTCTTTGCTTTAACCATGCCCGTGTCAACTACATATTTTATTCCTGTAATGGTTATGGAGGTTTCGGCGATGTTGGTTGAAATGATCACTTTGCGATAGCCCTAAAGGAGGAAGAAAACCAAAAAGCCATATGACACACACGATTCAGAAGTTGAGGACGTTCTAACCATGCATTTCCACAACTTGCTTATGGTCAAGAAGAGGTGACTTCATTAGTAATAGTAGTCATACCGATTTCAGTCACTCTACTTGATTAGAGACAGAGGCAAAGAGGACACTGGTCCTTTCCCTGAGGTCGTGAAGGTTAATTTGAGGCGAGGAGATGCAATGGAACAAGACTCAAGGTGGGTAAATAGGTGGGAGCTGGAACCCCGGCCCTGCCACCATCTTACTGTGTGTACCTTAAGCAATTCTCACCTCCCTTCTTGGGGGCCTTCGCATCCCTCATGGGGTTCCATGAGGAGGAGAGACGGTCTGTGTGAGCGTCAGCACTGTGTCTGGCACACAACAAATGGTACATGGGCAATGAGTTTCTACCAGCCCCTAGAGGAACCGTTCATCCACCTTGTGCCCTCCCTCATCTCTCCTCACAGGACAGCTCTCCCTGCAGCTCTGTACTCTACACCTGGTACCTGAGTATTCCTCCAACGTCTCTGGATCATGGGGACAGGCACACAGGCCCCATTGGTCGATGTGATTTGATGCCCATTGACGTGGCTGGCAGAAAGGTGGCACACTCACCTTTGGGGCCCCTTGGAAGACTCGAAGCTGCTGTGAGTAGGGCAGGGAGGCGTACAGAGGAAGGACGAGCATTGCAGGGCAGCCGTCAGGGAGGTGCTTTGCAATGTCTCGGCAGGTCTTGCTCATTGCTTCGATCTCCTCCTGACCAGTAAGGAAGACCAGGATGTCCTGGGAAGAGGGGGCTTCCTAAAGAGAGGGAATACTGATGATGCGGATGTTTCCAGGAGGGTTTTTGTTTTCTGTTTCACCCCACCCCCCCAGATAGGGTTTTTCTGTGTAGTTTTGGTGCCTGTCCTGGATCTCGCTTTGTAGACCAGGCTGGCCTTGAACTCACAGAGATCCGATAGGCTCTGCCTCCCAGTGCTGGGATTAAAGGCATGCGCCACTGCTGCCCGGCTCGTTTCACTTTTTAAGATAAAACAAGTCAGGCAGTGGCACCTCCCTGGGAGAGAATGCTTACCAGCAACGCAGTTGTTAACACGAGAGCCAGCCAACCAAACCAGGTCAAGAAGTTTTGAAAGGAAATTAACATCGCTTTTGTAAGACAATACAATGAAAGCCTAATCAGAGACAAGAAAACTTGGCATAAAACTTCTTGAGGTGAGGTGGCTCAGTGGGAAAAGACACTTGTTGCCAAGGCTGCTAGCCTGAGTTCGATCCCCAGGACCCACAGGGTGGAAGGAAGGAAATGCCCCTTGGGTTGCTCTTTGACCTCCTTACAGGCACTGTGACTTGAGCACCCCTCCCCCGAACAACACAATAAGTAAGTGCAAACCATAATTTTTTAAGACTTCTTTTTCTTCTTTTTCTTGTAAGTGTGGTATTTGTATGTGTGGTATGGTGTGTTTGTGAGCATGTGTGCCTGTGCTCACGTATGGTCAGTGAGAGACCCTGCCTGAGGTAGGGTCTCTCACTGAACTGGAAGCTTGCTGTGAGTCGGCTCCGGGTGAAGGCATTTGCTGTGCAAGCCTCGTCACTTGAAGCTGAGCCCAGGGACCCATGTAAAGGTGGGAATAGAGAACCAACTCCACAAAGTCATCCTTTGGTCTCTACATGTGTACTCTGCCCCTGCCCCCACACACATCAAGCACACGTACACCTCCCCGCACACAATTAAATTTTAAAATAAAATTCTAAAACAAAACAAAACAAAACAAAACCCACTCAACTAAATTTTGGCAGTTGAAAGAAGCACCTGGCTTTTTCTTCTCTTTCAGACATTACCAAATGACAGTAAAAAACCACCGTTTTCATCCCCCAGAAGAAAAAAAAAAGATCACTGCCCCCAAATGACAAGAGAATGGGAGATAAGAGGGTTCAACTCATTTGTGAAAGGTGGAAGACATGGAGGAGAAGGATGGTTGGGGGATACCTACTAAGGAGATAGTGACGAGAAATGAGGATGGAGCATATGGCTCAGTGGTAGAGCACTGGTCTAGCATGGGCAAGGTGCAGGAGAACAGCGAGGACATCTCGCAAAGCAACCTGCACCAACTGGGTGGCAACATGAGCGACCCCAGAGAGACTGCACACAGCATCCCATGACTGGGATATGAGACACAGTGTAAGACGTATTACACTGAAGGCGTGCACCAATTGTTCAGGAGACCAGGATAGGGACAGAGGGTTGCTAACAATGGAGGCTCCTAATAGTAATCACTGATGCTGAATTTAAAGACCATATGATACAGCTATGTTGAAATATGGAGAGCACAGGAGGGTGTGGGAAGGAGTATGTCTTAATCCTGGCCTACTTTTTTTTTTTGGTTTTTTGAGACAGGGTTTCTCTGTGTAGCTTTGGTGCCTGTCCTAGATCTCGGTCTGTAGACCAGGCTGGCCTCAAACTCACAGAGATCCGCCTGGCTCTGCCTCCTAGTGCTGGGATTAAAGGTGTGTACCACCATCGCCTGGCTCCTCCTGGCTTACTATTTTAAGAAATAAGCATATAATAGTGAATGATAAATCAAGAAACAGTAACATAAACAGGGTATTTTAAAATTCAAAAGTAGTTTCATAGCAACTGCTGAGTTTCTCTGTGATCTCACTCCTGGCTGGCCTGGAACTCAATATAGACCAGGGTGGCCTCACACAGGTATCTGCTTGACATGTGAGCCACCATGACTGGCTCAACTGCTGTTTTTTTTTTTTTTTTGGTTTTTCGAGACAGGGTTTCTCTGTGTAGCTTTGCGCTTTTCCTGGAACTCACTCAGTAGCCCAGGCTGGCCTTGAACTCACAGAGATCCGCCTGGCTCTGCCTCCCGAGTGCTGGGATTGAAGGTGTGCGCCACCACCGCCCGGCTCAACTGCTGTTTTTAATCAAGAGATTGTTAAGATCAATTCTTTGATTTCTTCTCTGAGACAAGTTCTCAAGCACCCACACTGAACTCAAGCTCACTATGTGGGGAGGATGACCCTGAACTCTTGACCTTCCTGCCTCCACCCTCAATTAGTGCTGCCATGCCTGCTTCATCCAGTGCTGGGGATCAAACCTAGGGCTTCATGCATGCTGGACCTTCCTTCTACAGACTGAGTTACATGCCCAGACCAACTGATGCCTTTCTTAAAATAAAATTGTTTGCCTCTAGATTTTCTCAGGAAATTAATACAAAGATTAAGAAGTCTATACAAATTAAATCAAAACAATAGGATTTAATCACTCAAAGCCTTTTTTGTGTGTGTACATGTGTTTATGTGTGTCATGCATATGGAGGCCAGAAATCTAATCTTCATCTACTACTATTCACCTTATTTTTGAGACAGGATCTCTCACTGAATCTGGAAGTTCCAGGGATCCACTCGTCTCCATCCCTCTTTCCCTGACAACTCCTGGGATTCCAGATGCACATCGCTTCAGTGGCTTTTTATGTGAGTGCTGGGGATCTGAACTCACTCTTCATACTTGTTTGGCAAGCACTTTACCCACTGAACCACTCCCCAGCCCTTAATCACTCACATGTAAATGTTTAACAAAATTAAAAGATATTTTGCAGTATCTCTCTAAAACTTCTGAAACACCTCAGGACATGTGTAGTGGTGCATACTTATAATTCCAGCACTCAGAAAACCTAGGCAGGAAGATGGCAAGTTGGAAGCCAGCTCGGGTACATGGCAAGACTAGACATACTTGTATAGCATACTGGATTGTAACGTAATAAATGCTTTTCCCCCACGGGTTCTGATATAAAGAGATGTACAAAAGTCACTCCTCTAACATGAGAGCTTTCTAGCTCAGAGAATAGCTGCTGATAGTTGAATTATTTTTCTTTTCAGAGAAAATAAGAAATCTCATAAAAGAGGCAAAACAGATGTAACAAGTGAACTTTTTCTGAACAATTACTTTAGAGATGGTTCTCTCTTTTGATCATGTGGATCCCAGGGATTAAACTCAGGTCAACAGCCTAGGCAGGAAGCCCCTTTACCTCTGGGCATCTCACTGGCCACAAATAAGCCTATTCCTGATGACACAGTTCACAAAGCTCCAAGATTCAGAGGCTAACTGTTCTCACAATTAGCTGTAAGGTGAAAGAGAATTTGCCAGGAATTTTCACCCCTTTCCATACCTGGTGGATCTGGAAGACTGAGACAAGCGCTGCATGCAGGTAATCCTGCTGAGGCTGCTTGGTATAGAAAATCTGGATCGGATGCTGCCGACCTTCAAGGTAGAGGACAGGGGCTCCATTGAAATACTGAGAAAACAGGTCAACATCCATGGTAGCTGACATCACAATCACCTACAGAAAAGAACGAGGAGGATGGGAAATAAATGGTGGACAGCATGTCTATAAAGCAGATGGTTGAGGCCCGTGTTACCCCCACCATGGCTAACTTCCTCCCATGTGGCTGAAGCAGAATGGGCGGAGAAACACCCCCAGAAAGACCGCCCAGTCCTTCAACACATTGCACATACTCTGAGAGGCAGTTTCCCTAGCCCCTTCCGCCTCTTCTGAGCTGCCTTCACCACTCCAAAGAGCACATCTGTGTGGATAGTCCGCTCGTGGGCCTCGTCCAAAATGACACAGCTGTACTTTCGAAGCAAGGAGTCTGAAATTGCTTCTCGAAGAAGCATGCCATCTGTCAGGAACTTGATCCTGGTGTCTTCTGAAGTGACATCCTCAAAGCGCACAGTATAGCCAACCTGAGAGAAAATATGACTCCTTTATTTAATAAACATAAACCCATATCTATTATATTATAAATATATGTTAAATATATATTAATTATATATCCAGAACTGTCCTCAGCACTATGGTATCACAGTAAACAAGACCAACAGCACTCTGCCCCACTCCTCCTTAGAGCCCACAGAGATGAGAGTCTTGACTCCCAAATTGTCCTCTGACCTCCATATGTGACACACACACTAATAAAGAAAAGGAAAACAAACACGCACCCTAACCTCTTACTTTAAGGTACTTATGAATAGACATGAAAAGAAGTCCAAAATATTTTTACTTGTAACACACATATATAATACAAATTTGAATCTGTCTCCTATATAGCTCCAAGACTCATTCTATAAACCTACATTAAGTAAAGAACAGTGTTCATATTTTTTGTTTGTTTGTTTTTCGAGACAGGGTTTCTCTGTGTAGCTTTGGAGCCAGTCCTGGAACTCGCTCTGTAGACCAGGCTGGCCTCGAACTCACAGAAATTCACCTGCCTCTGCTTCCTGAGTGCTGGGATTAAAGGTGTGCGCCACCACTGACTGGCCAGTGTTCATATTTTTATACAAATACATATACATATATATAAAACATACATACATGTAATAGATGTAAAAGAAGTTTCTGGACAGACATGATACTACATGCCTATAATTCCAGCACCCTGGAAGCAGAGAGACAGGAGGATTGCCATAACTTCAAGGCCACCCTGATCTACAGGTCTATACTACACGTTCCATGCTAGCCAGGGCTATAAGTGAGACCTTGTCTCAAAAAACTCAAACCAAACCAACAAACATAAAAATGACGTGTCTTAAAGTGTATACTCGTAAACTAGGTATAAAGGGTCCAGCGCAGTGGCAGGGCACTTGCCTAATAGGGTCAGTCTCCAGCACCTCCAAATAAGAAAACATCTGATTTATTCAATCTGCCAAGAGCTTTGTGACCAAAGCTAACAGGACTAAGAGCCACTGATCTCTCTGGAATTGGGAAAACTCTAAAAGCCTAAGAACTGTGGCAAGGAAACAGCATGCTGTTCAACTGGGTGTTGTGACACACCCAGGCATAAGGACTGAGGATTCAGAGCGCTACATATTGGAGACCTCGAATCAACATAACAATGGAGTGGGAGGTGAAGGGGTGAGGATGAGCTTGTTCAAAGAAATGAAGGGCAGAAGCACAGTGGGTGCCTGTTAGTAAACAGGAACCGGCAGTCAATAAAGCAACAAGGTACCAGTTTCCCGAGTTCAGTCCTCTTCTCATCTGAGACTCTAGTAGCAAGAGAGATGGCAGCCACTCGACGGGGCTGGGTCACAGCAATGACGCCCTGGCGGCTAATTCCCCCCTCATAGAGGTACTGTGGGATCTGAGTTGTCTTCCCAGAGCCAGTTTCCCCTAGGAGAGAAAAGAAACTCCTGTTCACGTGCGACTAAGGTAAACTCACCAAATAAAAAGCTTAAAGTCAAGAAAAACAAAACAAAAACACAAAAGAAAACACCCAGGTATCCTGCCAGAAAACAGCCATGGCTACTGTTTCCCAGGAGGCCCAATTACATTTCAGAAGCCTTTACAATGGGCTGGGCATGGTGACACAGGCCTGTTACAGCAGGCAGAGAGGCAGGAGGATCATTCTGAGTTATAGACCAGCTTTGTCTACATAGTCAGCTGCAGGACAGCCAGCGCTACATCACAGAGAGACTGTCAAACAAACAATAAAAACACCCTAAACTTTTAGGACGTTTATATGATTTGGCTCACAATTCCATTTACAGAAATTGAGTTTAGGAAAACAAAGATGTTTATTCAATTTGCCCCATGATGGCAAAAATACTGGAAATATGGATAATAAATAGTAGGTGTGGGGGTTTGAATAGGTATGGCCTCCACAGACTCACGTGTTTGAATGCCTGGCCCATAGGGGTGGCACTATTAGGAGGTGTGGCCTTTTTGGATGAAGTGTGTCACTTTGGAAGCAGGCTTTGAGGTCTCATATGCTCGTTAAGCCCAGTGTGGCACACAGTCTCCTGCTGCCCATGGATCAAGATGTAGAACTCTCAGCTCCTTCTCCAGCACCATGTCTGCCTGCATGCCACCTGCCATGATGATATGGACTAAACCTCTGAACTGTAAGCCAGCCTCCATGAAATGTTTTCCTTTATAAGAGTTGCCATGGTCATAGTGTCTCACACAGCAACAGAAACCCTAACTAAGACAGTAGGTAACTGGTATAGTTACAACATAAAATGAAATATGAGAGTCATGTAGATTGATATATACTGATATGAAGAGATGTCTATTCATATATTGCTCGCCCTTCTCTGGCTGCTGCTTGCTGTTCTCGTCAAGTCTTTGCCTACACTATTATGGGTACGATACCTGCCAGCCTTCATACTAATTGTCGAGTTACTGGGTAAGTCAGGCAGCAAATTCTCACCCTCATCTCTGAAATCTTTAGTGCCTGTTAATCCCTCTTCTAATGCCAGAGGGCAGAGGTCTCTTCACAAGCTTGAGCACCTCATTTCTACCCTCTGTTGGTACCTCTAACAGCACCTGAGTAGAAGAGCTCAGGAAATGTGCACACCCTTCTTTCTACCGTTTACTCTCTTTAATGTGTGTGCCTTGCATTTTCTCCCCGCTTCCAGCCGCCTCTGACTGCTCACCTTTCCTGACTTAGCCAAGAATCTTAGACTAAGAATTTGATTATCCTGCAGTTTCCCGCTGAATCCTCCACACGACCCGAGACTTGGATCAATGTCTCGTGTGCATCTTTCCTATTCTTATTCTAAGGCAACTGACTATTGCAAAAATAAAATATGCCAACCGTGCAGATGTAGAGCCAAATGCACCTAGGCACTAGCTCTACCGTCCACCTTGTCTTCTGTCTCCATCTCCCCGAGGGCCTACTTGAGGCTCTGGGGCTTCAGGTATCATCAGGACTCCTGCATCTGTCTCATATAAAGTCCTCAATTGTGATTTCCCTCTACTCCCTGCTACAAGGCTCTTGCACCCCGTTGCCTCCTCTGAGATGGCCCTTCTCCTGTGCCAGGTGGGCTCTCCATAACCCTGTTGCCAGGGCCCCCCCTTCCCTCACACTTCCTGACCTTTGCTCCATTAGCTCTATCCTATCTGCAGTGCCTCTCTGCTCAGTTCACCAAATCTGGAAATATTTGCTAGCTCCTCAGCTTTGCTCGTCTGGCCAAAGCAGAAGCCTGTTTCCACCGCCTTCACCCTTTCACCTCCTAATGTCAGTCCAGTGCCAGATCTGTTCCAAAAGTTCTCCTGAAGAGGTCCTCAGCAGGAGCTGTGATCAAGACCACGCATCCAAATCCAGCATGGACCTTCCCCTCTTTTGTGTATATATGATTAGGGAACTTTGTTGGGATCCACGGGAGGAGACCAACAGGCAGCACCGGAACTCATGGGACATGGCCTGGCGTCACTTCATCAAGTGAGCCTTGGAGAGGCAGAGCCCCAAGGATGCTATGTCCTGAGGACCACATGCTGTTACTGAGCACAGCTCTGCTTACTGCCCTCGTGGTCACCATGTCCCTCATCAGCTGTGGGTTGTATGAAAACTCTCAGGGGGTTTCTAGTCTCTCACTGGGCAGTGTTACTGGTACTTACAATAACAGTGACTGACTTTTTCCAAGCATTGCTGCTGGAGCAGATTAACGATTCAACCACCACCCTTAGAAAGAATTTAGACATGTAGAGGTGTTAGTAAGGCTAGGTTAAGATGTTTTCGTTAATGACTTTGATGCAGAAAACCTTGGGGAAGCTGGGTGGTGGTGGTGGTGGTGGCGGCGGCGGCGGCGGCGGCGGCGGCGGCGGCGGCGGCAGCAGCAGCAGCAGCAGCAGCGGCGGCAGTGCACGCCTTTAATCCCAGCACCAGGGAGGCAGTCGGATCTCTGTGAGTTCAAGGCCAGCCTGGTCTACAGAGTGAGATCCAGGACAGGCTCCAAAGCTACACAGAGAAACCGTGTCTTGAAAAACCAAAAAAAAGAAAAGAAAACCTTGGGGAACAATTTAAAATTTAGAAAGGCACACTTCATAGTTGAGCGAGGGAGACAAGAACAATGGTAGTCTGGCTATTGCTGGCTGAGATACCTTTCTTGCTAGGGTGGGTTGGTGATCAAAGGTGATGATTAATTCTTTGTACCCATTTCTGCCCTCAGCTTCCTGATATGATTTAATAAAAAAACTGTTGATGAGTGGAGATGCACCTTGAGGATTTAAAATAGAGATGATTGATTGTTTTTCATATATAAAAGTTTAGATTTGTGATCCTTAAGTTTTTTTATAAAATTACTTTTGAGATAATTGTCTTTTGAGATAAATAATAAAATGATTGATCCTTTCTTTGCAACCACAAAATGCAGCTGGACAGCAAAAGAACTGTCTTAGAAAGTACCTTGCTTTCTTACACTTTGTTAATCTATAACAAGTTGCTTAGACATGAATGTATGTGGGTTTTGGGGAATAATTTGCTTTTCACTTGTACTACGTAAATGTTTAATCATGTAAGGGAAATGAGAAGCATGATTTTTTTTACTTGTATTCATTATAAGCATTTATTTGGAAAATAGAATGTAACCATATTGTAATTTTTATACTGCTTGAAAGATTCTGCTGGGATATATAAACTGTAAAGAAAAAAATAAACTAAGAAGATAGAGAGATCCTGACGGAGTGTGCGTGTGCGTGAGAGAGAGAGAGAGAGACAGAGACAGAGAGAGAATATGTGCGTGAGCCCCGCAGAATCAAATTTTACTCCCTCAGGTTAAAAAAAAAAAAAAAAGTCAATGGAGTGATGAGTTCGCCACCTCCTCGCCTCCGCTTCAGCTCCTGAGCTGCTGAAAGCTGGTCTTTACAGCAGTGGACTTCACTGTTGCATCTATTCACGCCCTCCACAGAACTCCAGTCCACTGACTGCCAGCATTAGCTGGTCTTCTTCCTCGCTTCTGACACTCCCTCAAGGGCTCCTCGTTCTTAAAGGTTGTGCATCAAAGCCCCTTGAAATCAGTCCCTGACCTCGAACTCTCCCGAGCTCTTCTCATACCCAAGAAATTGGTTCTCGTTAACGGAACTGTTTCTGACCGCCAGTCTCTCCATCGCTGCACAGCATGCCAGTCCCCAAGGACCCGCTCCGCAGCTGCCTCCTCAAAGCCTGGGTGAGGCCCGTCGTTCCAAGCTCTCAGAGCCCCCGATATGCACCCACACCCTGTCACGGAAAGTGAGTCTTTACCCCCATACACGCCAGGCACTCGCACAGGGCAGTCAGCGCCAGCAGAATAACTCGGTCCGCCTCTTTCCCGAGGTCCCTGTTCAGGCCTGACACAGAAAACCTTTCAAGTTTGCTGAAGAAACCAACGCAGAGAGAGTGAGAAGCACCTAAGAAAAATTGCCCTCGCCAGGCCAGGAATCTACAGCAAGGAAGGCCTCGCCAAGGTGGCCACTCACCGATGAGGACCGCACTGTCCAGGTTTCGGAGCTGGGCCAATAGCTGCCCCCGCGCCCGAAAGATGGGCAGATTCCGGCGCTGCAGCTCCAGGGCCTCGCGGTAGGGACTGGCCGAGGGCTGGGCCAGCAGCGGCGTCTGCCTCCGGCCTCCTCCTGCTCCGCCGCCGCCGCCAGCCGCCAGCAGCATCACCACTCGCCTCCCGGGAGGGCAGGAGGCCGGCCGGAATCTCTTGGCCGGCGGGAAGCCCGCCTCCTCCGGCATGTCGGGAGGACCGCGGCAGGAGGCGCGGACGCCGTCAGCTCCGCTCCGCTCCGCTCCGCTCCGGACAGCAAGCGCGCACCGCCCCTTTCTCGCCACGTGCAGGCGTGTCTGGGCGACCACCGATGACTTCACAGCCGCCTCCAGACTTCAGGAAAGGAACTCTAATTCCCGACATGCATTGTGGGTTTGGGTAGCGTTTACATCCTGTGAGAGCAAGGCCGGAGGTGCGACAGAAAAAAACTGCCCGAGCAACAACAGGGAACGATAGCTATGAGTTCCGTAGGCCCTTCTTGGATAACGACGTTGTCCTTTTGGGCTCTCGTTATACCAAAGCTATTTCTTTCCAATAAAAATGAGTGTCCCACCTCGGTCTCCAACAATAGTCACGTTTTAAGGAAGTTACTTAATTCTGTAAAAATCAACGAGGAACACAAACATTTAATTTTCTAAACAATGCACATTTTAAGGAACCCACTGATATGTCCGATTTACAAATGTAGAAAATGAATTTTCTGAGATTAAAGTCATTCAGATGCTGCAAAGAATTTTGAAAATGCTACTAGTGAGTATCTTAAGTTACAGAAAAGTGACCTATGATTCTGATAGCATGTATTTCCCTCACAAAATGATAGGCTCAAATAATACAAGAAAAGGAAAAAAAGGAAATTATCTTTAACTCATCTCCCAGTAATTCCTACCAGATTCTCATTCTTTACACAGCTTCCCAGTCCTATTGTACACACGTTAATCAATGGGATTATTTAGTACTCCCACAGAAAACTTGCATATAACCAGTTCTTCCTTCCTGTTCCAAATACAAGCTCTTAGATGTTTTGCTAATTCAACACAGAAAGGCTGGCAAGCAACAAATGGTTAGCATTGCTTTTTGTTTTTTGTAGGGTGTGGGCGTTTTACTTGTATGTTTGTATTATTTGCATGCAATACTCATAGAGGCCAGAAGAGGGTGTTGGATCCCCTGGAATTGGAGGAAAAGGCAGTTGTGAGCCTCCTGAGTGCTTGGAACTCAGGTCCCCCAGAAGACCTGCTAGTACTCTTAACTGATGGGCCAGTTCTTCAGCCTGGTTTGCTTTTTCTTATAGTGAATGTGGCTGCCAGTGAATAAACTATAACTCTCAACTCATGTGAATGATATCTACCAAATTTAGTATGTGGACCTGCTTTTTAAAACCCCCAGACATGGACTTTTCCCAGTCTGTTGTGGAATCTGGTGTGGCCTTTGGCCTTGGTCCTGCTGAGATGCTTCAAAGCCTTATTAAGAATGTCTGGGTCCCCATTAAACCCTACTATACCCAGGTTTATCAGGAAATTTGAGTAGGAATGGGGTTAATAACCATCCTTTATAAAATCAGGAGTGCTTTGAAATTCAGTCCTGCACCTGCCCACAGCCATCATTAACCGATCCATGTCCACTCGAAATGAATCGTGACAGCAGCTGTGTTAGTTAGATGGAAACATGGAACATTGATGTATACTTATCTAAATACCATTTACAATGTGGCCTTAATAAATGTATCTGAGTAGCTAAAAACTGAACCAAAACAAAAGATATTTTTATCTGGCTTCTGACAGCATAACTAGGTGCTAATAAAAATGTTGCATGTGTTTAGGATGCATGTTCAGAACATATTGACTTGGGGCTGGAGGCAGGGCTCGAAGTTAAGAATACATATTGCTCTTTCAGAGAACCCAAGTTTGTTTCCTTGGGTTCCATCCATGTCAGGCAGCTCACAATCACCTGTAACTCTATCTCCAGGAGATCCTACACTTCTAACCTCCAAGGGCACCTGAACTTATGTGCATACAATATATACAAAGACACATACAAGTACATATTATTTTAAATTATATAAAAATAACAAAAATAAATCTTAGAAAAAAGATTAAGTTGACTTGTCCACCCCCCCCCCCCCTTAGGAAGGCAAGCAATCCCTTATAAAGAAAAACAACTTACATCAAGTTATGGACCTTGAGTAAATAGAAGGCAAATGCCAGTCTTTTCTTAATGCACATTCCAAGCAACCTAATGTGGGAGGTCTTATATCCCTAAATGATTACAAGAATCCAAATAGGTCATATAAATGAGTGAAACACTTAGTAGGTAAAAAACCTCTTAAATCCATACATTTATTGATTGTGTGTGTTGGGGGGGGGGGAGGGAGGGAGGGAGGGAGACTGAGAGAATAGAGATCATAGGACAACTCATGTCAGTTGCTTCTCCTTCCGCCATGTGGGGCCTGAGAACTGAACTCAGGTCTTCAGGCTTGGTGGTAAGTGCCATTATCTCTGGAGCTATCCCACCAGCTACAACACACACACACACACACACACACACACACACACACACACACACACACACACACACAGACTCCCCTTCTCTAGAAGCACCCACTAATCACAGGCAACAGTTATCATGCAAGCCATTTTTTTTTTAAGACAAGAAAAGCAAAAATTTGGTATGTTTTTAAAATATTGGCTCAATTTTTTTTAATGAAGGCAAAACATAACATTTCTATAAGGAACTCATTCCTAGTAACCCACTCATTCAGTAGCCTCAATGATAAAATAATCAGAGTTGGAAACTTTAATCCTTTATCACATAAACCATGTTGCCCACATGTCCTTCATTGGCAGTCTGAAATCTGCTGCCGCTCCAAAACAAGTCTCCTGTGGTTCAGTGGTTTTCATATCGAGAAGCTACTACACTAAGTATTCAAAAGATATCCTTCCTCTGGAAGACAATCCATCATACACATTGCATTCTAATCTGAGGCGGTTAATTCTGCACACTTGACTCCCTGATCTGACCGTGACTATATAAGCTCATGGTCACCTTAGCTTGTATGGCCACCAAACCATTGCCCTTGATCATGCTCAGCTTTGCTCCATCCTGTTTCCAGAAGCAATGTTAAATCTTAGCAACTAGGTACAAGTTCGCATACATACGCATTAATCCTCTCATAATTAAAAATACAAGATAATAGTTTGCTGATCAATGAACAAAGTATTTATTCAGCACCCATGTGCCAAGCACAGTGCTAGGCACTGTGGTGGATACAAAAATTAAGACATAGTCCCTGCCCTTAAGGAGCTTACATTCTCATGAAGGAAACAAAACTAACATACATGTAGCAGCTAGGAACAGTACAAGACAATATATGGTTTGCTATAAGAACTTTAGTACAGATTTGAAGCTTCACAGGGATTTAAAGAAGACAATGAAATAGACCTTAGTATTAAGATTTGAGTGTCAGGGTCTTGAAAGACGGAAGAGACTTAAATCGAGGTCCCTGCTAAGTAGAAGTGGGAGCAGGGTTCAGAGGAAGACAGAGATATGCATTTGATAAGGGCCAAGAATGGACTGCAGGTTTCTGAGCACAGTGGCTTAACCATAGAAGCAAGGTTCAAGAGCTTTGATGAAAACTCAAAATAGTAAGTAGCTTAGTCATCCTAAGAGGAGCGAAGGGCAGGATATTGGCTAACACAGATAGAACTCACCTGTTAAAGGAAAACACAGCCACAAAATAAAACAGCGGCAGAAGGCATGGCAATTCTAGGAAGCATGTTACACAACATGCCAATAGCTCCAATGTTTCCTAATTCCCAGAGGACCCCAGAGACAGTGCTATGGTTCCATTTCAAGATCCAGGGTGTGGACGTTTTGCCTCACACAAGTACAAAAGAAATATAAAAGACAGGACACAGAAGAATGACAGAAAAAGAAGTCGAAGAAACAAGTAAAAATTCATAGTGAAAAAAACACACCAAAGTATATAAAATGTATCTCCTAGGGAGATGCAATTGGTATGTCCATTCATTTTTAAATGAACATATATTGTATTTCTATAAAAACAAAACAAAACTCCCTATGCTTTAGGTGTGCTTTTCAGTTATTTCTGGTACAATCCAGGAAATGTCTCAAACTATACTCATGTAAACTTAAGCAGTCAAAATCCCACAATCCAATCTCACTTTTCTGTTGACTCACATTACAAAAAGGAAGCATGTTTTAGAAGAATCAGAAATCAGAAGTTTGCTGGGGAAATGAAGACTTTCCCTCTTGTCCAGGTAAGCACAGAGATCCTATCAAACTACACAGGACCAGGGACACAAATGTGGGACTGGCCAAACTCCTAAGAGGCCAAATGCCTGAAACTGGCACTCTAAGGGCACAGTGTGGAGCACAGCATGGCATTTTTGCCACTAGGAATTGACATCCTAAAAACCAGACTGCTTTAGGCTATACATCCAAAATGTATTTCCTGTTTTACCCGGTCATTAATATGTACAGGTATTTGCTACTTAAAATGAACAGCTGGTGAAGAGATTTTAGAATTAAAACTTTACCACAAAAATTCCATCAATTAGCTAAGTCTAAAATTCACTCAGGGACAATAAATAAAACCTAAAGAAACTCATTTCTGGCTCAACAGCAAGCAGTAATAATAAAAATAAATTCCTAAAAGTTACCAGTAAAGCTTTCTTGAACAAAAACAATGATTAAACGTAAGAATCCCATAAGGATCATACAGCCTAAGATTGTCATTAAACGTAAGAGATTTTTAAACAAGAGAAAAAAGCAGCCCCTTTAACACACGCTCCCTAAAATCCTCTTCAGTTATTTACTAGCAACATGGAACACGCCAGTACTCATTCCATTCCTTCTGCATATTCCACTTAGTCATTAAAATACTTCCCACTTCAAGGGCAATCTGCAGCTTCTCACCTAGAATGGTTACTACAGCTTGTTAACCCTTTGTCAACCTCTGAGAAAGATCTCATTCTGGAAAGCAGCTCAGCCGAAGTAGGACAAGCCAGTCTGGGGAGTCCTGCGCCTATATGATGTTTATGAAAACTATCTGCTCATCTTCCTGGGTTCTGATGAAGCAGCATGAATGTAAAACGAGATGTACTATCTTTGACAAGCATTCACTGAACCGTCAGTGTGGCTGCTTCCAAATACCCTAATTTCCACCTGACTGCGAAGGTGAATGAGGCACTTGCCTCTGGAAAGGTTTTGAGCTTTTCTGGAATGACAAGAGGAAGACATACCCGACTGCTGCCCATTCATATTCCTGTGCTTTGACAAAGGGTGGCCATTACTAACCTGGGTAGTTCTTAGTGGAGAAATTCCAGCTAAGAGATGTTACAGTTGCTTTCTGTTTACAGCTGACTCTCCTACGGATTCCTCTGCTACAAGAAATCACCCTCCCTTCTCTCTCCTCCTGTGGTTTAGTAACTTGAAGCTTCGTAGTTTTCAGACGGAGAACTATCTGAATGGCAGAAACCAATCTTCCTCCTACCGAGGCTATGACTCTGAACTAGTCAGATGTACATAACAGCTGTGTATTTCCAATCTTGAAATGAAATCCAGTCGAAAGCCGTGGAGACACGAGGCAGACACAGAAACTGCTGTGTTCAGACCTACGCAGGAGAGCTAGAACACATTACCATGATTTAAAAGATCACACGAAAGCTTAAATACAGTGTGAGAGAGATGGAATTCAGTTTTATTTTGTCCTCTCTGAAACTTCCATTTACACCACGGCCTTGTCTATCAAAGAGGCGGAGGAGGAAACGCCCTGCCTTATGCCAGAGCTCAAGTACCCATGTACTTGTTAGAGGCGGCAGGGTATCTGTTTCTCCAGTTTTTTGGCTCCAAGAGGTTGTTATACTTTTAGTACCAGCATAGTGAGGAACCCCTGGCAAACTGCTGGAAATGTCTTCTGTGTTAGTCAGTGTACCATTCCGTAAAGTGCTTCTGGAGTTAAAATCTGTCAAGCTGTCAAAAGTGTCCACACTTTCGCAACAAGGGATAAAAGAATCCCAATGGGCATTTCACTGAGTCCTTCTCAGATGGGTTTCATAAATTGGCACAGCTGCTTTACCCTCCAAGGCGCTGGCCCTCACCCCAGGCGAAGCCTCCTGGCCGCTCTTCAGGTAGTGGGTTGTAATTGGGATCCTCATCTGGTGTATCAAAAATAGTCCTCCTAAAACACACAAGACTATTCAATGCCAGAGCCATCTTAGATTGGAAGTACTAGAAAGCAGTTCATTCCCACAGGGCTTCCACAAACAGAGAAGCGTCATCTCTGCCTGCCAACTAAAGAGGTATTATACCGTAAGGGCTCCACAATTATTTAGCATTTACATTAACTTACCTCCTTTACTAATGTTTACTATAGAAATGATAAATGCTGATGAGGTACCTGGAACAGTCAAATAAACAGGCACAAAAAGAACGATGGTTGCTGGTAGACGGGAACAGGAATTACTCAATGGGCAGACTTTTAGGATTACAAGATCAAAACATTCTAAGGACAGTGGCCACAGCAGCACGACACAAATGCACGTAACACCACTGCACTGTCCGTGGTAAAACGGTTAAGACGGTGAATTTCATGTTGGGGTGTGTTGACTTAGTTACAAGGACATTCATCACTCCAATTACAGAAGGAAAAGCAATAACTAATGTCAGTGTCCATTAATAAGGAAGTAACACAGTATGTTAAATATGAACCACAGAATGTCATGTAGCCACTAAAATTCTGTAGGGCATATAATGGAAAAGTAATCACTCCCCTCACCCAACCCCTGCAGACAGGGTTTCTCTATGTGTAGGCCTAGCTGTCCTGGAACTAGCTCTATAGACCAGGCTGGCCTTAAACTCATGAAGATCCATCGGCCTCTGCCTCCCAAGTGCTTGGTTCAAAAGTATGTGCCACCACACCTAGCTAGGAAAAGTAATTCTTACATATTAGGCTAAAAAAAAAAAAAAAATGACATTTTAGCTGGGCAAGGGTTTCTCTGTGTAGCTTTGGAGCCTGTCCTGGAACTCACTCTGTAGACCAGGCTGCCCTTGAACTCAGAGATCTACCTGCCTCTGCTTCCAGAGTGCTGGGATTAAAGGTGTACACCACCAAGTCTGGCTGAAAAAAAGACATTTTAAGAAGTATACAGATAGGGGCTGGAGAGATGGCTTAGCAGTTAAGAGAACTTATTGCTCTTGTAGAGGACCAAGGTTTGGTTCCCAGCACCCACATCGGGGAGTTTACAATCACCTGTAATTCCAGTTCCAGGGGACATACTGTCCCTGGCCTCTGCAGGCACACACAGTCATACATACAGTGCACATAAAATGCAGGCATACAGCCTTGTAAACATATTTATAAAATAAATCTTTGAAATACATTAAAATTATAAAGCTATTTTAATAAAAAAGCATATACAGATAGATAGTTACCCAATTCTAAGTGTTCAGCCCTAAACACATCTACATACAAACAACACTAGATGGACTAAATAGGTAAATAGATTTTGTTTATGTCTGTATAGTAATAATTAAAGAAGGGGTCATGAATTGGATAGGGAGTAAGGATACACAAAAGGAGTTGAAGGGGAGAGAGGGAGAAGTGGAAATGATATAATACAAGAATCACGTAGGAAATTATCAAAAAGGTATGAAAGATACAAGACTAGCTGTCGTCAGTCAAAGGAAACTGCTATGTATAAGCAGAATTACAGAAGATTTTGCTTCCTGTGGTGGTTTGAATAGGTATGGCCCCCATAGACTCATGTGTTTGAATGTTTGGCCCATAAGGCATGGCACTATTAGGAGGTGTGGCCTTGTTGGGGGAAGTGTGTCACTGTGGGGGTGGGCTTTGGGGTTTCCTATGCTCAAGCTACATCCAGTGAGAAAGACCACTTCCTGCTGCCTGTGAGCAGAGATGTAGGATTCTCAGCTTCTTCTCCAGCACCATATCTGTCTACATGCCACCATGTCCTGCCATGATGATAATGGACTAAACCTCTGAAACTGTTAGCCATCCCCGATTATATGTTTTCCTTTATAAAAGTTGCCGTGGTCATGGTGTCTCTTCACAGCAATAGAAACCCTAATTAAGACACTTACTTGTTTTTCGTTAATTACAAAAAAAAAAAAAAAAAAAAAATTTCCTCTTGAGATGGATTCTTGGTATGTTACCTAGGTTGACATCAAACTTTGAATTCTTCTGCCTCAGCCTTTGGAGTGGATGGGATGACAGGCATATACTAGCATACCTTGCTAGTTCACTCTTCTTTTTCTCTTTCTTAGATATATTTACTTCCCTTCTATTGATTTTAGTTCTTTTTTAAAGGTTTATTTATTTGTGTATTTCATGTATATGGGTATTTTGTCTGCATGTACACCTGTACACCAAAGGAGGGCATCAGATCCATGGGATCATAATTACAGATGGTTGTGAGCCACCATGTGGGTGCTGGGAACTGAACTCAAGACCTCTGGAAGAGCAGCCAGTGCTCTGAGCCATCCCTCCAGCCCCTTATTTTCATTTTACACCTGTGGGTATTTGCCTGCACGTATGTCTGCGTAGCATGTACTTTCAGTGCCTGAAGAGGCCAGAGGATGGCGCTGGATCCCAGGGAACTGAAGTTATAGACGGTTGTTAGCTGCCATGTGGGTGCTGGAATTGAACCTGGGTCTTCTAAAAGAGCGGCCAGTGCTGCTAACCACTGAGCCATCTTCATTCTTTTTTGCTTAACCATTTTACAACAGAGAATTTATATCAAAGCATTTGGTCGTCTCAGTAGAGCCTTGTTTGTCTGTTTTTTGAGACAGAGTTTCTTTGTGTAACCCACCACCTCCCAGCAAGCCCCCTTCTCTGCCCCTTAACGTAGTAGTTTCCAAGGATACAAAATTCTAGAGCAGAAACAGGTCTTATAAATCAAAACTCTAGCTCAAGAAACTGCAGAATACAAATGAAGAGAAGTGCTTCAAGTCACACTGCTTGGTGGTGGCACAGCTAGTCTGGCTTCAGGTCCAAAGCCTTTTCCATTCTATTTCCCTGTGTATCTCCACCACCTGCTTTGCTGGTCACAAAGTCATCAGAAACATCCTCTGAACTATGTGGCTCCTTCCAATGTTTACTTCTCTCAACCTGGACAGCAGCTTTCATACAGCCGGCAGGCTCTTCTCTGGCACACAAGTTCTAGTGGTCACTCAGGATAATAAATGCAAAGTCACCCCCACGATGTCAAGAGCCAAGTAATTACAACCCTGGCCTAATCTGCGCCTGGCCAATACAAAAGTTCTTCATTGCAGCCATGTTGCTCAATCTTCAAACACTGGTATGAACCACATGAATCAGGAGCTAAGGGAGCCCAGAATACACCATGATCACAGTTTGTGTGCATGGACAGTGAAACACGGTATTAAATACTCACAAAAGAGATGGTGTTTTCAGAATTCTTATTCCACCAGGCTGATTGGGAAATATATCTTCCAAGAAAAAATATATGTGCCCAACTGCAATACCTATAATCAACCAGAAATAAAGGATAAAAAGGAAGATTAAAGTTTCAATTTTAAGTCTCCTACCAATATACGCTTTATTTAGGGTAAGGTAATTATTGAAAGTCAATGAGCTAATATTATCTTTCAGATATAATTATTAAACAATCTTGCAATAGCTATATATGAAGACTGAACAGAATAAACATGAAAGACAGTGACAAAATACAGTTCAGGTAAAATAAGACAAAAAGTAGTGATAAGATGCTTACCCAAAAGGTCCACAATAATTGAGTTCCCCAACAACAAGGAAAACCCCATGAGCACCCAGGGCAGAAAGGGGGCCTGGAAGTTTAGAAGACCAAAGAAGTTCATGCGGACATACGGGTTCCTTCGGCTCCACACGTAGACCAGCATTATTGTAAAGGCCTGGCCTAAAAAAACTAAGCTCACAAACAAACCAAAAAGCTAGCAAATGGAATTAAGGAAAATACCAACATGAAAGCATGCCAGGGAAGGCTAAGTAAGAGAACTAAAGACTATCCTTTTGCTAAAATCTGAATTAAAAAAAGCTAAGTAGTGACATTTTCAAAGTGTAAGAAGAAAATTAATTACCCAAGGCAAAACTGGCTTGGGCTAAATTGTCCGGCTCACAGCTACTACAGACTAAACTTGTGCTTTTGTGAGGCTTTTGCCTTTTTGGAAAAAGTTAATTCCTTTGTAAGTAAATGCCACGAAGAGCACTCTCCACTGACGCCTTCACAGGTGCCGAAGCATGCATGCTGGAATGAAGCCTTGGCACACAGCACGGATTGGATCGAAGTCTGGTACACACAACGAAGTTCTTTTCTTTCTAGAAAACATTGTATCAGTTTGACAGTGACTTAATACATGTCTTACCAACTAAGTGAAGTGAAGTCACCCACCAGTAGGGATATAACTGAAAACCCACCCGGGTTAAAAGTTCTTGCTCGGCCCTGTCCAGCCTCTAGGTTTGGAAGCTGTCAAAGTGGGCTGTGAAATAAATGGGAGCGCCCCGAGGCTACAATTTGGGGAACTACTTTATCTGTTTGTTCAGAGTAGCTTGTGAATCATGGGAGACAGACTGAGGAGTAGACAGTCTGTTCTTTAATATTTTCCTGTATTTTATTTGTTGAAGGATACAGTCATTAAAAGTCCACCAAAAAGGAACATAAATACAAAGTCTGCTGTCCGACCTCGGAAAGAGCCTTCTTCTAGCATTCGACAGTAACGGTATCTTAAGTTTCAGGTTAAGAAAATATTAAGCACATACATAAGAAGAAAATAAAATGTAATGAACCACTGAAACATACTTAGGCTTCAGACTACACAGGAAAGCTGCATTTCTCTAAGAATGTTTAAGTAGTAATCTGGTTTCTTTTTTTTTTTCCCATCAAGCATTTTAGGCAACAACAAAACTCGCACCATATTATACAAAGCCTATTCCTGGTTGGGTAGCTAATTCAAATACTGCACGAATGCGCTTCCAATCACCATTACATCTCTTCCAATTTGTAGTACTGTCTTTCCCATGTTCATCTACATGGGAATTTGCACCATCCTTGGTTTGCTAATTTGGAAGAAATCCCTGCAAAGAAGCCTTGTGTGATAACTACTTTTCTAGGCCAGGTAGGCCAAGCATTTCTATATTCCAGTTCATAAAAACTGTAACGAAAAGCCTTTTATTAGAAACTTATCAGAATACAGCCTATACAGGAAACAAAAAAAAAAAAAAAAAAACCGTTCTAGGACTTACAGGTCCTCTGTCTCCTGCAGATGAGCTGGAGTGCTGGGTGCTCAGCACACCTGATTCCCATCTGACTCTTCGATTACCAGGGCTCTTCCTGTCTGTCAACAAACCTAAATATGTCGCGCCCAGCAGACATTTTGGCACTCACTTTTTTTTCAGCCTTGCAATCATGGTCCCCACGCTATGTCATAAACTCATTCCAAACCCCGGGGAAAATTCTGTGGAGTTAGCAATGTTTCAGGGTGATTTACTACTGTGCCAGCTGATGCTGACATTGTTTTACAAATGTGTCTACAATAAATCACAGCTGAAGGACATAAATGTTTTAATAGTTGGAACTTCCTGTGTAAACAAGGGGTTACAAAGAATTTCAAAACATTATGATTTGATTACAAACTACAGACCCCGAAGTCATAACTACAATGTTATTAAAAATAAATAAACAAGAGTAATAGTTTCAACTTACAATATATACCAAGTTAACCTAAAGTCTTGATGTTGACTCCACTTAAAAGGATACAGAAAAATCATGTTAAACAAAAAATTGAATCCAACTGGACCAAAAAATAAGAAATTGGTGATTAGCCTCCATATCTGTGGGGGGTGGGGGTGGGGGTGGGAGAGAGAAAGATACATTAAGTAAAATACATAACCAGGAAACATTTCTATAGTAAGAGAAAAACGACATTCTATGACTCTAAGGCTCCAAAGTCCTAGGTGGGGCCCATTCAAATGTGACATCCATCTGATTCTGGGTTTGTTTTGTGTGTGTGTGTGTGTGTGTGTGTGTGTGTGTGTGTGTGTGTGTGTGTGTGATGCTTCTAGTTAAAAGACTAAAAGATATTAATTGGACTGTGAAATTTATACGGATGATAGGACAAAAATTCAAAATCATAATTGTCTTTCATAAAACAACACAAAAAGCCCACACCATGTGGCTAAGCAAATTAGCCGTCTGAATAAACACCTAGGTTAGTTTGCAGAACAGAGTGCTTTTATATGTGTAGTCACCATAAGGAGGAGTTTACAGATACTAAAAACTTCAGGGATCCAGTAAATAAAGCTGCTGAAAATAGTTTCTAAATTAGCCCCAACATCCTAATGGAAAAATTCTAAGACAGTCAGGTTTTGGTTTGAAGTCGACTTCCTACAAGAATTGATGCTCCCAGAGTCAAGGAGAGATACAAAAACAGTCTCACCTACTCAATCTACAACTACTCACAAAGCTTTACATAATTTACTATCATGTGAGATCTTAGCAATCTTGTGAGACAGGCAAGCTGATGTGACCATCCTCACTTCACAGATAAGAAATCTTAAGACTTAGGGCTTGCTGAAGGGCATGGCAGCTGGGTGGAGCCTCTTGATAGCAAAGCTAGAACTCCTAATTCCAAACTTAATACAAGAATTTAACCTTGGCTAGGGATGGTTGCTCATGTCTATAATCCTAGTACTAAGGAGTCCAGGCAGGAAGTTCACAGAATTGCTGTTAAATTCAAAAGTTGCCCAGGCTTCATAAGAGATCCTGTGGTTTTGTTGTTGCTTTAAAAAAAAAGTACGGTGATGTACACCTTGTGATCCTAGGAGGCTGAGGCAAGAGGACACCATGAGGACCATGCCACAGTCACAGCCACAAAACAAACTATCTCAGAAAATAAACAAAAAACAACCAAAGAACTTAACCCTAGGCAGTCAGTAGGAAGCAATCCCAGGAAAGGCCACAGGAAAACAACCTGGCAAAGACCAGATTGCCAGGGGACCGACTGCTCATACACCATTAAACCCTCCACCACTGGTAACTATTTGTGACAACTAATGTTGACAGTCACCTATAAGACAAACTCTGGGCATCCCTCTCTGAGGGAGTTTCTAGACTCTGTCACTTGAGGTGGGAAGGAAAACACTAGCTGGGGGCGCCATACAATGGGCTGGGATCCTAGAACAACTGAGCAGGAAGAAGTGAACTGTTTCCTCACTAAGGGTACCAGGGGACCCACAGCCTTAAGTTCTGGATGCAGTGACTTCCCAACCACAATGGACTTTACCAACAAACTGAGAGCCAAATAAGCCCTTCCGTCTTAAGCTGCTTTGTCAGTATTCCCATCACAGCAGTGAGAACAGTGACCAGCACTCTGTTTACATGGAAACAATCCAGTTCTATGTGTTATCTGAACATAGGAGCTCATAGAATCCTCAACCCAGTGAGGACACCACACATAAAAGCTCCCAAGTAAAGCTGGATGGTGATGGTGCACGCCTTTAATCCCAGCACTCAGAGGCAGAGACAGACAGATCCCTGGGAGTTCAAGGCCAGCCTGGTCTAGGGAACGAGATCCAGGACAGCCAGGACTACAGAGAAACCCCATATAGAAAAACCAAACCAAACCAACCAACCAACCAACCAACCAACCAACCAACCAGAAAACCCCAAGTAAGGGTGAGAGATACTCTATCGTGAAAGGTAATATATCTGAAGGCACACAAAAGCTGCATCTTGAAAGGCAAACTAGAGTTCAATGGGTACAAAGGGAGTATAATCCATTTGGGGCAGGGAACAGCACGAATAAAGCAGAATTACAGCCAATGAGATCTTGCCTTCACCTAGAGTGTGAATGACCATCCTGGCATGAAAACACACTGCTCTTTAGCATTTTAATCACTGGAAAAAGACTTCTTCAAGCTGTACTCTAATAAGCCAACATACTGTTTTAGAGAATGGCCTTTTAGACTTGTGTTAGTATGATCTGACTTCTGGAAGACAGATCAGTGTTAAAGCTCTACCAGAACTGGTTTATGAGCTGGACCAAGAGGATTAACAACAATTAACCCAGGTTGTGTCTGGGTGGTGAATGGACAAAATAAGGGCTATCCTGTGAGACTCCCTGGGCAGTTAGCTGGTTAGTCTATTCTCAAATCACATCATTATCATCATCACCATCATAATTATTACTATTAACATTGGTTGTTGTTACTATTGCTTGTGTTTTAAGATAATTCCTTGATGTGTAGCTCAAGCTGGCCTCAGCTTCCTGACTGCTGGGATTATGGCCACATTAATTCTTAACTAGCTGTAATCAAATACAGGAACTCAATACACCCAAAACATACTAAAAATAGAAGATGAATTATAAATTCCCACCTGTAGCAATTTTCTTAAGACAGGGTCTTCCTAGGTAGTCCAAGCTAACCCAGAACTTGCCATCTTCCTGCTTAATCTGCTTGGACCGCGATCCACCCTTGGCAATTCTAATTTGGTATATGCTCACAAATACCTAGCAGCTCTTAAATGATTCTGGAGTCCAACCAGGCTGCAGAATTCCTTCTTTACATTTCAGTAAGACTTATAATCAGAGCTTCCTCCACTGGATTATTTTTTGAGACTGTATCTGATAGGATTTATTACTTACTAAACAATAAAGAAAAAATGATAGTGGAAATATTAATCATAGTAGCCATAGACCACTTACTTGAAAGTGTTTAAAAATTAGTTCAGGGTTGAAGTATAACTGAAAAGGTGTGATCAATTCCAACTGCTGAAATGGAAAAAAAAAAAACTTCTTAAATCAGATCGATCACAAAACAAAATTTCAGCATTAACAACAAAGGATCAGTAGCTCTAATAATTTCTGTTGTCACTTGGAGTAAATTTCTATGTCTTGATTGCGACGGCTGGTAAGGGATCTTTAGAATTCGTACAACCGTTTGTATCCTCAATACACAATGCAAGTTTTATGTTGCAATATTTGAGGATGCTATAAGGCAACAGTATCTTTTACGAATCTGTGTGTCGCGTGGTCACCACCTGAAACAGCTGGGTGAGACAACTCCGAATAAGAGATTCGAGGCCCCGATACCTTTAGGGCTAGGTACAGGCGACCAGTTCTTTCATCCACGGGCCGTCTTTTGAAAGATGCTTCCAGACAATTCGAGATTTTTATTCTTAATATGGAAGTCTGTGAACCTAGCGGACCTTGCTCCCACACTAGTCACCTGGCCATATCTAGAGCTCTGAGACACATTTTTGGGTGGGCGGCTCCCGCAGGTCTGACTCGCTACAGGTCTCGATTTCATCTCTCGGAAACTGACCTACTCTCGCATGGAGGAGCACTTCCTTTTCAGGTCACTGGCTTGGCACCCTTGGGACTATCCTGAACCCTAGAGTCAGCTCCGGATGTCTCCACCCACCCCTGGGACCAAACCCTCTGGGCTTCTCTGCGGCCCAAACCCGTTTTCTGAAGACCCAGTCATAGCTAGCCTGAAAAAGAGGACGTGGCGCCACAGCTGCTCACCACGGCCGCGGTGGTGAGGACGCAGGCGGTAGTGTAGGCGCGGCTGACCGGCGGGATCTGCAGGTACTCCAGCCGGAGGCTCTGGTACGCCATCTTCCCCACCGCGCCTGCCCCCCTTCCCCTTCCGCCAGTATGCCAGGCGGCGGGGCGGACTCAAAGCCGGCCTTCAGCCTTACCACCGCTGTCCAATCAGCGCCGCGCACCCGGCCAGCCACCAATCGCTGGCGCCCTGGGGACTGCGCATCCACCAATCACGAGTTGCGCCTCCGCGTCGGCCCATCCTTACATCTCCGCCTACCAACGAAGAGAGAAAGTACCAGTTCCTTCCGCCAATCCCCGCCGGCCACAGCTAGCTTTCCCTCCTTGTCCCCTTCCCTTTACCAATCCAAGTGCTCCCTTTCGACCCCGCGGCCAGCCAATCAGGAGTGCGATCCATCCCGCCTTTGGTTTGTTCGCAGAGGCGCATTTCAGTCGCTTCCGAGGAGCCGGTGCCGCCGCCTCCCTCCTTCAGCTCCGTGTGGTTTGAAGGAAGTGGCGGGAAGCCGGTGTGTGGCGGACTCCATCACCCCCGGGATCGCTTCGGTAGGGGCTGTGTGCTCTCTGAGGAGGAGCGGTGTCGTTTCAGGGGCGCCGGAGCGTTCTGCAGGGTATCCCTCCCACCAGGCCGGTTTAGGCCTGGAGACCTGGAGGTCCCGGCATGCTTCGCGGCCGCAGGGTGGGACGGGAGCTGGAGCTGCCGGAAGCGCCTCCCGCTCTGCGGTTTCTGGGCCTTGTCTGTGGTGGTCGTGGGCTCCGTTCCACTCGTCGAGATGGTGTGGGGACCTCCCATGTTTATTAACTTCAGCCGCAGGAACTCTGTCTGGCAGAGAAGAGATGGTAGATGAGTTAATAACACTGAGGGGGGGGAAGCGAAGGAGGTAGTGGCTGCTGCTTCGGGGATCTGTATTGGAACTGCCTCTTGAAGGATCTGTGCTCAGTGCGTGCCTACTTGAAGGAAAGAAAATAGAATTCGGTTGTGTTGGAGCAAAGGCTATCCAGATCGTGGCCGAAGTATTCTTGTAAGTTAAAAGAAGCATAAAAATTGTGTGTGTGTGTGTGGGGGGGGAAGTGTGACTGTAAAGAGAGAATGGCATTTAGAAGGAATATAAGGCTGAACGCAGTAGTGGCACCTGCCTGTGACTCCTAGCCATTCTGGAGGCTGAAGCCAGAGGCTTTGTTGAGTCCTGAAGTTGTAGGCCAGCGTGGACAACATAGAGGAGATTGGGGGCAAACACAAGAAGAGTGGTCTTGTTGATAAAACTGCAGCTTTATAGCTACCACCTCGCCATAGCATTGGCTGTGTAACAGAGAAAAGGCAAACTTGGAACTTTTCTCTGAACTGGAAGTTTGGATTTAGGAACTTGGTTAGAATTGCTATTTTATATATATATATATATATATATATATATATACACACACACACACACACACACATACATACATATATATACACATACATACATATATATACACACACATTTGAAGCAAAGTTAGAATGCAAACTTAATTATAGGGTGCAAGTTGTCGGTAGGTTGACTCATCATTTGGGTAATTTGTAACAGACATCCATCCTACTTGGATAATGAAAATATTAAAATCTTCTAGAAAAGGCATCGCAGTATAAACAGCAGATGTGGAGGGTGGAGGTAGTTTCAGTGTCCAAACAGTATGTGAGGCCAGATGGTTTTAATTTTTAAAATACAGTGTGGGGCTGGGAATGTATCAGTAGAGTGCAAACCTAGCTTATAAAAGGCCCTGGACATAATGCTTAGCACTATAGGAAGGAAAAACAAGTTTATGACTACCAAATTGGCAAAAGTTAAGAGGGTTGGCAGATAAAAGAAGTTCTGGTCTACTCCAAGTGAGTGTAACCCAGTCTGGATGTTCTGAGAATGTTTTAGCAGTATTTAGTGACATAATATATGCAAATATCTGGCAAGTCCCTAAGAGACTTGGAAGATCTCCATATAACCCACCCCCCCCCACCCCCCGGTGTTTGGGCAACTTTATTGAAGAAAACAAAATTAGTTACTATCAGACCTATTAGGTGATCCCTCTTCCATTATTAACTCCCAACATCTTTCCTTGGGAGATAAATTAATAGCTCCAAGCCTCCTAGCAATTTAGATGAAAATTCAGAACTGTTTTGAGACTGTTTTGGAATACAAAGGATGTTTGTCTTTCCATATTAATGCTACAGATTCAAAACCAATTCTTTAACCCATCAGTTATGAGCATAAAGAATATTTGTAAACTGAGACTTAACAGTGGAAGGCTTAAACAAGGACAGTTGCTGCTAAAATGTTTCATCCTATGGTGGGACAACTAAATACCCACGTCTATTCCCCACTCAGATGATTTCTCCAGTGTTAGATCAGTGAGGAATGGTTTAGTCTCATCAAGTTAGAGTGAAGGCATGGCCACATAATACACTTGCTCCACTTAAAAAAAAATGTAGCCAGGTGGTGGCCAGCCTTGTCTACAGAGTGAGTTCCAGGACAGCCAGGGCTACGCAGAGAAACCCTGTAAATCGTAATCTTGATTAACTGTTACCTTATAATACAGTTTTCCAAACAGCAGTTATTGTGTGGGTATAGTCATGGCTCAACAGTAAGGTCCCCATGCCACTTCCAGAGGATGAGTTTGCATCGCAGCGCCCTTGTTCAGTGGCTCCCAACTGCCTCTAACTCTGGCTGCAGCCGGACTGACACCCTCCCCTGGTCTCCAAGGGCACCTGTGTGCATGTGGCATATGCACACGTGAGCATACACACATAAATAGTAAGACTAAATCTTTTAAAAGTTCTTGTACAGCACTGAAAGAGCTGAAGTCTTCTTAGGTGACCCAGTGACTGAATGGTGGTAAGCAAAAGACAAAAGTAAGAAGAGGTCTGATAAAGGAACTGCCAAATGAGAATAGAAGAGGAAGAGTAATTTAAAGTTTATTCCAGCAATAATGCAGGCTATTCTGACTTTAAGGTCATATCATATGGCATGTTTCTGACTTTGTTCCCAACATAATCTCTTAAATGTATCTCTGATTTATAGATCTGTACAATCTGTGGCACTAAAGGAGCATGCAAACTTGTATCAAAACAGTGAACAAATGAATAGAGTGATTTAGAAATAGTTAAAGCAGGTGATCACTGATCTTAGACTATGGAGTCAGATGCTATTACTGTTACCATTTGAATGAAAGTTCTTGCAAATGTATCCTTAGCTGATTTGAAAGTAGAAAAGTGAATTGTCAGAAAGAATACTCTGCTTTGATATGGGCTGTTATTAATCTTATCATTGTGGCTTGCCAGTGAAGCCTAGCCTCAGCTGCACCTGCAGAATTTTATATTGGAGTATCATGGACCAAATATGACAGAGCCTCACATTAATCCATTTCAGTGTCATAGTTTGACTTCTACCTGGTTCCTTGTTACCTTTTTTTTTTTTAAAGTTATTTTGTTTGTTTGTTTGTAAAGTGTATTTTGTTTGTTTATTCATTTATTTAGTTTGCCTGCATGTATGTATATGCATCATGCCTGTGCCTGGTTTCCACACGGCCAGAAGAAGGCATTGAATTCTCTAGAACTGGAGTTACAGATTGTCTGAGCCGTCATGTGCTAGTGCTCTTAATCACTGAGTCATTTCTCCATCCCCAACTATCTTGTTTGTTATTGTTGCTTAATGATTTTAGTTTTTGAAATGTATGTGTATGAGTGTTTTGCTTGCATTTTTGTATATGTACCATATGTGTGCCATGTCCCCCAAAGAGGTTATTAGAACAGGGCATTGGATTTCCTGGAATTGGAGTTATTGATGGTTATGAGCCACCATGTGGGTGTTGGGTCTTATGCAAGAACAGGTGCTCTTAACCATTGAGCCATCTCTCCAGTCCTGTTCCTCACTAGCTTAAAACATTTTAAAAATTAATGTATTTTTATTTTTATGTGTGTGCCTGCATATATATGTATGCTGCACTATGTGCAGTGCCCAAGGTGGTCAGGAGAGGGTGTCAGATAACTGGAATTACAGATAGTTGTGAGCTTTTATATGGATTCTGGAAACCAAACTTGGGCCCTCTGCAAGAGCAGCAGATGCGCTTAACAGCTGAGCCATCTCTGGCAGCCCTACTCCTCATCATCTTGATGTGTGCTCAAAGGTCTGACAGGTGTCTTGATTATTTGGTTGGTGGGGAAGGATTGTCTTGTTTTACACTGTGTATCAGTCCCCCTAACACCACTGTCACAAACACAGGGTAGCTCTAAGATTTACTTCTCATGCATAATCATTGAATTTGTGCCGCCCCTTTCCTTCTCCTTTTTGGAACAGCAGCTTCTTACTAAACTGGGTGGGGATGGCTGTGGGGATGCCTAAGAGGGAGCATAGATGCAGAGCTGAAACGCTTAAAGGATGCATTTTGTTTGTTGTTTTTATTTTTCGAGGCAGGGTTTCTCTGTGTAGCCCTGGCTGTCCTGGAACTTGCTCTGTAGACCAGGCTGGCCTCGAACTCACAGAGATCCACCTGCCTCTGCCTCCTGAATGCTGGGATTAGAGGTGTGGCATGGACACTTTACCTGGGATATGTGTGTGTGTGTGTGTGTGTGTGTGTGTGTGTGTGTGTGTGTGTGTGTGTGTGTGTGTAATAGAACTGCTATACTGCTGTGGTCAGGGTCAGTCAAGTAATGAGTGTGGTAACATGAAGTGATTAGGCCATTAAAATGTAAATGTGTATATGAGACTATTTGTAGGGGCTGGAGAGGTGGCTCCAAAGTTAAGAGCTCTTGTTGCCTTTGCAGAGGGCCTGAGTTGGGTTCCCAGCAAGTTGAGTTGCCAGCACTCACAGCTGTTTATAACTCCAGCTCCAGAGAACCCAGCACCTTCTTTTTTTTGTAGGCATCTTCATGTATGTGTACATACACAGGTGGATATATGCATATACACATAAAAAGTGAGTTCTAGGCCAGCCAGAGCTACCTGTCTAAAAACAGCACCACAAATTGTAAGAGTAGTTTTGGCATTCTACTCCTTGGGAGGCTAAGGCAGAAAAGTTGAAATTTTGAAGCCAGCCTAAGCAACATAGTGAGGCCCTGTCTCAACAAAACCAAACCCTAGTAGGAGCATAATCTGTGAGAAGTGTTCAGGAAGTAAAAATCTTACAAGCCAGAGATACTCTATGAACGATACGACAAAAAACAAATTCTGTTTATATAGCCACACAGTTACCACCGCCATATTTTAAACCATTGCATATATAATTTTTCAAGGTTGATGACATCCTGTCTTCTCATAAGATTGTCCACACCATTGGCTATACTTTTTTTCACTTAAATTTTTAAAAAATTCATCTGGTAGGGGAAGTAGCAGTTTGTAGATTACATTAAGTGCCCTAACCTGAGAATGGAGTGAAACGTCTCTTATTTCCATAACAAGCATATGGTTACTAGTAGGACAAAAATGCCATGGTTAAGTTCCATGGTTCCAAGGTTAAGGAAATGGGATGACATGTTTCTAGATGCTTACACTGGAAAAGAATGCCTCTCAGATCCTTGAAACAAATCAGGGTAAAGGCTTGGTCATTTAGTTGGATTTTTCTCTGATGGCTAGGGTGGGAGACAATGAGATAATTAAAATGGTAGAACATGGGACTAAAAGGAATGAGCAAAGAAGTTAGGTGGAGCTGCTAAAGGTACAGTGTGACTGACAGACTAGTATAGGACTTGATTAAAATGTAGTTCAGTTAGTAGAGTGCTTGTCTGGGCCCTGGGTTCTAACCCCAACACCACATTATTGGTATACTCCTATGATCCAAGCATTCTGGTAGTAGAGACAGAAGAATCAGAAGTTCAAGATCATCCTCAGCTACATACCAAGTTTGAGGTCAGCTTGGGCTACATGAGACCCTGTCACAAATGAAAGAAAGAGTTTGAGGCCAACCTGTGGGCTGCACAGTAAGAGATTTTCTCAAAATGTGGGGGCACATGTGGATCATGGAAGCTCAAAAAGCAGGTCTCTAGGGTATTGAGGCCATCTGTTTAAACTTTCAAAGTTGCCCAAGATAACAGAATTGAGAAGGTTGGGCTTATATCTAAGTCTTCAGTAATAATAACTGAGGGAAATGAACAATAAAGAGAGTATAGGAAAGAGACTCAAGAGGCAAGGGCTTCTGTCTTTCTGTGGACAGTTAAGGCTGGAAGGAACATCAGGTATCAAAGGAGCACAAATGCCTTAGTTTTCGATTTGCTTCCTTTGTTTGCTTGCTTATCAATAGAGAGGTTTGTTACTTTCTTTCCCCTGATGATTTTGCCCAAATGAAATTTCTGTGTTTTTGTACTTGCAGGTTTTCACAGTTGAGGACAGCAAAATAAAGCAGGATGTCCGTGGATCCGATGGCCTATGAGGCCCAGTTCTTTGGCTTCACACCACAGACTTGCCTGCTGAGGATCTACATAGCATTTCAAGACCACCTGTTTGAAGTGATGCAGGCTGTTGAACAGGTTATCCTAAAGAAGCTGGAGGGCATCCCAGACTCTGAGATTAGCCCTGTCCAAATTCGTAAATGCACAGAGAAGTTTCTTTGCTTCATGAAAGGACGTTTTGATAACCTTTTTGGCAAAATGGAGCAGCTGCTTTTGCAGTCGGTTTTGTGTATTCCCCCAAACATCCTGCTTCCTGAAGATAAGTGTCAGGAGACGCATCCTTTCAGTGAAGAGAAATTCCAGCTCCTCAAAAAGGAAATCGAAGAGTTAAAGGGGAAGTATAAGGTCGAATTATGCACTGAACAGGCCCTTCTTGCAGAATTAGAAGAGCAAAAAACTGTTAAAGCCAAACTTAAAGAGACCTTGACTTTCTTCGATGAGCTTGAAAACATTGGCAGAGATCACGGAACTAGTAACTTTAGGGAGAGTTTGGTCTCCCTGGTCCAGAACTGTAGAAAACTCCAGAACATTAGAGACAATGTAGAAAAACAAAGCAAAAGACTGGAAACATGGTAATTTCTCAGTAGTGAAAAGAGAGAACATGTAAATAAGCAGCTTTTCTTTGATTATTCTTATGTTTAAAGTCTTTTGGGGCTACTTCCCCCTCCTTTCCCAGATTCCACAAAGCAGATTGGCAACTGCATGCTCCGGTTCAGACTTCTAAAGCAGAGTTTGTGTTCATCTGCTTTCCCCCTTCTGAGATTTGGGTTAACTGCCCTTGTATCTGGTAACGCCTCTAGTTCTTCTTTTGGGTTTGTACCCATTCAGCTGTTAGGGGTGCTTTAGTCTGATTTCATGAGGGAGTGGAATCCTGTGTAAGTGAGGCCTATATATTCATTCATTGAATGTTGGAGTGCAGCCATGAAGTACATCAGGAACTAATAAAGCAGAAAGGACATAGCTCAGTGGTAGAGTATGCTCAGCATGTGGGTGTCTTGGGGTTTAACATGCCACACTCTGGAGAGAAGAAAAGGAGGAGGGGGAAGAACAAAAATTAAAAAACAAAGGGAAATGGTGTGGCAGAGGGGGTCAGGGATATGGGGTGAAGTATAAGACAGGCAGGGGCTGATGATATGAGTCAGCAGGTAAAAGGACTTGTAGTACAAGCCTGGTGACCCTAGTTGGATCCCCAGAACCCATGTAAAGGTGGAAAGAAAAGCTTGACTCCACAGAATTGTACTCTGACTTCCAAAGGTACACTGTGGTATGTGCACCCCTCATCCCCCACATTGTGTGTGCATACACACATATACACATATAATAATAATTTTGTTTTAAGAGATAAGCAAAACCTCTGTATGTTTGAGTGTGTGCCACTAGAAAACTGACTCCTCGCTGGCTGTCATGCACGCGGTGATCCCAGCACTTGGGAGGCATAGGCAGATGGATCTCTTGGGAGTTCAGCCTGGCCTATCTAAAGAGTTCCAGGACAGCCAGGGCTACATAGAGAGACTTGTCTCACAAACCAAAAACAAACAAAACAATAAAACTCAAATCTGATTCATGACACTTGTTATGTTGGTAAAACAGACTGTATTGGGGACTCTTGGGTTAGATACAGGAACCATTGCAGCAGGGATTTGCATTGAGGGAAAGGTTAGATTCTGAATATAACAAGGAAAAGTTGGGGATATGCAGCTAAGGAACAGAATGACTTGTAGGGACAAAAGGTCATCACTGGATGGAAAATTACTAAAAGGGTCAGTGTTAGGGTTCGAAGTGTCCACAAAATTCATGTGTTAAAACTGATTTCCTAGTGATACAGTGTTGAAGTTGAATATTTATACTTTGATTAATGCCTGTGGGAGTGGGGGAGTTTTTAGGGAGTAGGTTTCCAATAAAAACATGAGTTCAGGCCACTCTCTGGTGTGATCTCACCCTATAACGCCTCCACTGTGGGAAGAGACAGCAAGAAGGCATTTTCCTTAACATTGGACTTCCTAATCTCTATACTTGTAAGTAAATACTTTCTTGAGGTATTTACATGCTACCTTGCAGCTTAATATATGGGAAGAGATTCTTAATTCAGCACTGGCTTCTTTGAGGGGACTGCTTAAAGAATGATGCCATAGCCAAAGATACTTGTACTTTGGTCGTGAGCCCTTTGTGATCTCAGTCCTTTTGACTGACTGAAGACAACTTAAGAGAAGGATTAAATCAACTGATTCCTTTATTAACCGGGCATCACACTGGGCCAGCCAGTACAGCACACTTACCAGTAGCTTTACTTACACCAGGAACTGGCTAATTGATTGCAATAAGTAGCAAAAAAGACCATTCTTGGCTTTGGTACAGAAGAAAGGTTGCTGTTTCCAGAACAAATCCTTCGCAAGAGCAAGGCCCTGGTGGTGGTAAGCAGTTAACCTTGGAGTCCAGCAAGACTTAGAGAAAAGCCAGTCTCCTTTATGGCTTTTTGTTATTTGGGGTTTTGTTTTGTTTTGTTGAGGCAAGGTTTCATGTACTCAGATTGTCTTCTACCTACAAAAAATGCTGGCATTACTGTTTGCCACTACACCTGGCTCCTTGGCTTTTTACTTAAATGAGAGCTTTCACATTTGTAGCACATTGGAAACATTGTAGTTGAATGGGGATCTCTCAGAAGATATGTTTGTCTTGTAATTCCTGAGACTTAAATGTTGCCTTATTTAGAAAGAGGGTCTTTGTAAGTATAATCATTGAGTATGAAGAGACCATCTTGAATTACCTTGGTGGGCCCTAGTCCAGTGATGCTAACTAAATATACCTCTAAGGAGAAAGCAAGGGCCAGGGAGGCCAAGAGAAGATTTGAGATGAAAGACAAGCTGTCTTGTTACCCTAGACATTTCGGGATACTGCAGCCACAAGGTGGAAGAGGTGGGGCACAGTAAGCATCTGTGAGCTTCTAGAAGTGGTGTGGTCCTGTGGACACATTGTAGATTTCTGACCTACACAGCTATGATAAGAGTTCCTGGTGTTTTGAGTCACTGGGTTTTTTACAGCAGCCATGGCCTAGTGAAATCAGAGTATGATACTTATAAGGGTATAGGATACCTGTTAGGAAAATAAAATCTGAGGCCTTTCATGCTATATCCCAGATAACGAAGTTCTAACATTGCCCTTGCTGTGGGATGGTCTGTATGTCAAATGTGTTGCTGATTGGTCAATGAATAAATCACTGATTGGTCAGTGGCCAGGCAGGAAGTATAGGCGGGACTAACAGAGAGGAGAATTGAGAGAACAGGAAGCTGGGTGAGAGAGACACTGCCAGCCGCCATCAGGACAAGGAAGATGTAAAGTACCGGTAAGGCACAAGCCACAAGCCACGTGGCAAGGTATAGATTAATAGAAATGGATTAATTTAAGCTGTAAGAACAGTTAGCAAGAAGCCTGCCACGGCCATACAGTTTGTAACCAATATAGTCTCTGTGTTTATTTGGTTGGGTCTGAATGGCTATGGGAGTGGCGGATGTCAGATTTGTCCTGACTGTGGGCCAGGCAGGAAAACTAGCTACATGCCCTCAAGCATAATATTTCATAATCAGAAATGATTTCGTGTGTCCATATATCTGTCTGCCACTGACAACTCAGAGTAGAACAGGACACTTGCCCCAAACAATTGACACTGGGTTAATTTTGATCTGCTCGAAGTAGATAGCTGATGTTTGTCCCTTGGGCCAAACGTAGATATGTGATCTCAGCTAGGCCAATAAGAGTCTAGAATTTTAGAAATACATATTTTTGGCACTAGTGATTGAACCTAAGCGTGTTCACACTAAGCTATACTGAACTATACATTCCTAGGAATTTAGCAACATAAAACATGGGCCAAAAGGATTAATAAAACATTTGATTATTTTTAAGATTTATTTTATGTGTATAAATGTTTTGCCTACATGTACATGGAGTGAATGCCTGAAGAGGCCAGAAGAGAGTGTCTGATCCCCAGAACTGTAGTCACCATGTGGGTCATGGAAGCCTAAACCCTGTCCTCTGCAAGAATCCTGAGTGTTCTTAACTGTTGAGCCATTTCTCCAGCTCACAGGTGATTTTACAGTCACACTCTAAAAGGCTGCTTATTAATTAGGAAAAGACTTGGTATGCAGCCTCAAAATTGGTTTATTTTTGAGATCATAGGGAAGCAGTCTCCTTCAAAATAAAGTAGTCAAATGCATGATCACTGTGGGAAACCTAAACTGCCTAACAGGAAGGTAGGCCAGACAGGTGATGATGCTAAGGCAACATGTGGATGATGGGAAAGCAGTGATTAGAAAATACAGACCACCCAGCACTCGGGAGGCAGAGACAAACGGATCTCTGTGAGTTTGAGGCCAGCCTGGTCTACAGAGAGTTCCAGGAGAGCCAGGGCTACACAAAGACATCTTGAATCAAAAACCAAAAAGAAAATACGAGCCAGATACTGGAGCTGAATAGAACCAGAAAGTTCAAAGAAAATGAGCAGATGTAGGGAACACAGGCCAATAAGACGTATTGGAGTATGGGAAGGAAAGTCATTGAGTCTTGGGTCTGGGTAGACTTGAAGGCAGTGGTGGGTGAATGGTAAAGGCTGCAGTACAACAGCAGGGAGACTTGGTGGGACAACAATACATTCAGAAGTGAGGGACAATATAGGTTATGTTTGCTGTTCTGGGCACTGAACCTAGGGTTCGTAACATTGAAATACATCCCAATATTGGGGATATTTGAGATTTTAAAATTTTATTTGTATCCCTGTATATGCCATATGTTTGTTGGTGCTTGTGAAGGCCAGAAGAGGGCATCAGAGCTGGGGTGAAAGGGTGATGGTGAGCTGACCAACATAGATGCAGGGAATTGAACTCCAGTCCTCTGGAAGAGCAGCAAGCATTCTTTTGTTACGTGGTTGGTGGGTTTGGTTTGGGCTCATGGGAGGAAAAGTTTCCATTTCCTCTTATATATCAAGGTAAGTCTTACTGAGGGAAGTCGGGGCAGGGACTCAAGCCTGGAGGCAGAAACTGAAGCGGAGGCCACTGAAGAATGCTACTTACTCTATGGCCTGCTCAGCTTTTTTATTAAAACATAGTTACATATTTTCCTCATTCCCTTTACTCCCTCCAACCCTTCCCATGCCCCTCTTCTCAAATTCATGTCCCTTTTCTTAAATCGTTATTGTTAAAACACATACACACACACACAAATATATAAATACAACCTGCTGAGTCTATTTAGTGTTTGTATGTATAAGCTTTACCCATAATACCTCAACATTATGACTGCCTAAACAAGATCTGAACAAGGACAACACTAATACACATACTAACATGAAGTGGGGAGATCTCACTGGGTCCCACCCATAGACAACTACAGGCAACCAAGGAATGCTGAGAGAGTGAGAGGGAGCGAGGGAGAATTAGTCTTCCTAGGGATGAGCTGTCAAATACGATGTAACAAGCATTCTAAATGGCTGAACCATCTCCAGTCCGGACATTGAAGTCAATGATAAGATAATAAAGGCAATATGTCTAACAGTGGTATAATTGGTAGAACTAGATGCTTGAATTTGGGGTAGAAAATGGGAACTTAGATATCAGGAAAATTTGATAACATGGAATAATAAATATTGACGAATGGGTAATTTGGTTTGGGGACTGGAGGAAGGAATCTACTGTCAGGATGATACGATCATACCTAGGACTGTAAAGTGAGAGACAATGCTTAGAAAGCATGAGCCCATACAAAGGGATTCGGGGGGAGCATTATAAGGGATAGCACTAGATCCAGTATCCAAGGGTAAGAAAGAGAAACTGACAGATACCTGTCTCAGTTCCTTGGAGATGTAATTTGGGGAACTGCCATTGATGGTTAGAATTACTGACCTATTTCAGTTCCTTGGAGATGTAGTTTGGGGAACTGCGGTTGATGATTAGAATTACTGTAAATAGGCTGTCATCAGGGAAGAGTGGGCGTCAGACTGGCACTTAAAGTGCAGAGAAGCAGGATACCAAGTCACATGGTGATACGGTGTTAGGGAAGGCCAGAACTGTGGAGGAAGGCCCCTTTATTGGAAAACAGTTTATAAAATCCCAAGATGGGTGAATCAGTGGGGCAGATCCAGAGCTTAGCTGAGGGACTGCTGGGCCAGGAGCCCCTTAATAGGGAGACAAGTGGGGACTAAATACTGAGGAGCAGTGGGGCCATGTAGCAGTGGCAGACCTGATGTTAGGGGATAGGAAGTCTGTCAAGGGCCATCGTATAGTTGGAAGTTAATGAACAACTGAATACAAAGGAGACTGAGAATGTGATTTATTCCATCAGATATACCACAATTGTGGACATTTCCATAAAGTATAGCAGTGTTGGAGTGCTGCATCTGAACAACTGACATTCACGAGTAAACAAAGTGGGTAGGCGAACAACCTGCAAAGATGAGTTCTGGTATTTACTTTTTTGAGGCTGAGATGACAAGTCCAGCAGGAACTCTTGTTATCGACAGTCCCCAAACCCAGCCCCTTCATCTTGGTCCCTTAGCTTCAGAGGGCCTCCAGGCTGAAGTGAAGTCGCCTGAGAATTCTCTAGCATAGTCCTCCCATGGACCCCAGTAAAGGAAGGCCCTCAGTCTCATTTCATGGAATCCACGAATTCTAGTCCTCCGTCCCTGAAGGTCTGCTGTCCCCTGTTCCATACAGTCCAAGAAACCTGTCTTAAGCGTTGGCTTGCTGATATTCAGCTCCGCTTACTACAGGCCTTGGGTCCTCCTGGTAGCCACAAAACCTAAAGCAGGGAAAAAAAAAAAATGCCCATCCCGCGTCAGCTCCAACTCCTGAGGGCGCAGAATCATACCTTGACAAACACCACTCACCTCCAGCTTCCAGCCATACCCGCTGCTCTCCCAGGTCCGCCAGCT